TTTCTATAAGATTTCACCTCGGTTGGAGAGGGGAATGAACATTCTTTATAAGGAACGTGGAAACTTCTCCGTTCTAAAAACCTTGAGGGGAAGCTTGAAAGGGAAAGCTCAAAGAGGACAATATCTGTTAGAGGTAGGCTTGGGCTTACAAATGGTATAGGAGCCAAATACCGGGTGGTGAGGAGGTTGAGCCTTGAAGTGGGGTGGACACCAAGCGGTATGGCATGCCATTGAGGAGGCTAGGCCCCAAAGAGGAGCGGATTTGGGGTCCCACATCGATTAGAGAGGGGAACGAGTGCCAGCGAGGACATCGGGAACCAAAGGGGGTGGATTGTGAGATCCCACATCAGTTGGAGAGGGAACGAAGCATTCTTTATAAGGGTGTGAAACCTCTCTCTAGCAAACACATTTTAAAAACCTTGAGGGGAAACTCGGAAGGAAAAGCCCAAAGAGGACAATATATGCTAGCAGCGGGCTTGGACTATTACATTTGGATTGCTTATTCCAGAACTGATGGAATGAATATGCTAACCAGTTTGTAGTCCACCACATGATTGGCGTGTATAATATATAGACATCATAATTACATATGTATTATAAAGGTATTTTAGTAACGTTTTTCTCTTAACATGTCATATTACATACGTCATTTTAATATTTTTCATACTCAAGAAACGTTTAAGGGTACTTATGTTATCCATCCAACACTCCGGGGTTAACTCCTTCAAATGCTTAAAATTTTGTTTCCTTCTGTAGAATGAAAGCAATGGACTCTATACAGGCGATGGCTCAGTTGACTTCCATGGGAATCCTGTTCTCAAACAAAATACTGGAAACTGGAAAGCATGCCCATTCATTCTAGGTGATCCTCTTTCTCTTTGTGCTTTGGTAAAATTACATTAATTTTAGTACCTTAACTTAGACTTGACAATTTAAACTATGAAATCTTCCATCATTCTTCTAAAGGTATTTTTGTGTTCTTCCCATTTGGAGTTCTTTTTTCTTCCTTTTTATTCTTTACTTGACATTTCGAGCCACTTATTTGTAATACAGGGAATGAAGGCTGTGAACGATTGGCCTACTATGGGATTTCGACAAACCTTGTCACTTATCTTACTAATAAGTTACATCAAGGAAATGTTGCAGCTGCTAGAAATGTCACTACTTGGCAAGGAACTTGTTATCTTACACCCCTCATTGGAGCTATCTTGGCCGATGCTTACTGGGGAAGATATTGGACAATTGCTGCCTTTTCAACAATTTACTTCATTGTATGTTTCATCTGATGTAGATTAGAATACTAGACTTGTGTGTCAGCGTCGATATTTTCTTTTTTAGAGTGCAACTAAAGATGCAGGTTTTTCTTTACAGGGAATGTGTACGTTAACTCTCTCAGCATCGGTTCCTGCTCTAAAGCCTGCTGAATGCGTCGGGTTCATGTGCCCCCCGGCTTCTGCTGCTCAGTATATTGTATTTTTCCTTGGACTCTATCTGATTGCACTTGGGACAGGTGGAATCAAGCCATGTGTTTCATCCTTTGGAGCTGATCAGTTTGATGATTCTGATCCTGCTGAAAGGGTTAAAAAGGGCTCGTTTTTCAACTGGTTTTACTTTTCTATCAATATTGGTGCTCTTATATCAAGTAGTTTGCTAGTTTGGATACAAGACAATGCTGGGTGGGGTCTAGGATTTGGCATCCCTGCATTGTTTATGGGCCTTGCTATAATAAGTTTCTTTTCTGGCACAAAGCTCTACAGATTTCAGAAGCCGGGGGGGAGCCCAATTACGAGAATGTGCCAGGTTTTGGTTGCGTCCTTTCGTAAACGAAATCTAAAGGTTCCTGGTGACAGTAATCTTCTGTATGAGGTGCAAGATAAAAGTTCTGCCATTGAAGGAAGTCGTAAGCTCGAACACAGTAATGAACTGAGGTAACTTTCTTCACTACCTGAGATATAATCTCATAGCTGCTTTCCAAAATATTTAGAATTCACGTCGAGATTCGATTTCTAATGATTGACGAACTGATGCAGCTAACCAGTCTTCCTTTCAACATTTATGCATATGTATTGTCGACCCGATCTTCCTCGTCCCGTTTCCCAAGCAACTTCTAATATCGTGTTATTGGGATCTCCCAAATGATGATTGCAATAACAGTATTTAGCATTAGCTTCTTATATTGTAGTATTTCCTGCTGAGACATACATTTGACAGTGTTTTGATAGCTTTTCTATGCATATTTCGACCTGTTCTAATTGGTTGATATCTGGTTGGACAATTAGCAACTTTACTGTTGCACCTTGACCTCAGAAATTATGTTCGTTTGTGAGATCCTGCAATGGTTGGAGAGGGGAACGACGCATTCCTTATAAGGGTGTGGGAAACCTCTCCCTATTAGACACGTTTTAAAACTGTGAGGCTGACGGTGATACATAACGGGTCAAAGCGGACGATATTTGCTAGTAGTGGGCTTGGGTTGTTACAAATGGTATTCGAGCCAGACACCGGGCAGTGTGCTAGCGAGGACGCTGGGTCCTAAGGGAGTGGATTTTGAGATCCCACATCGATTGGAAAAGGGAACTAGCATTCCTTATAAGGGTGTGAAAACTTCTCCCTAGTAGATGTGTTTTAAAATTGTGAGGTTGACAGCGATATGTAACGGGCTAAAACGGATAATATCTGCTAGCGGTGGGCTTGGGATGTTACAAATGGTATTGGAGCCAGACATCGGGTGGTGCGCTGGCTCCCAAGAGGGGTGAATTGTGAAATCCCATATCGGATGGAGAAGGGAACGAAACATTCCTTGTTAGGGTGTGGAAACCTTTCCTTAGTAAATGCGTTTTAAAACCATAAGGTTGACTGTGATACGTGATAGACTAAAACAGACAAATATCTGAGTTGTGTTACATCATTACTTTCTGTATAGACATTCTTTGTAGGAAACGGCATCATTTTGTCTAGACATGTGCTCAGACAACTTGATTATGATTGAATTACAAGAAAACGACTTAGTGGCTATACATGTATAAAAACCGAACTGTTATTTCCTGCAGATGCCTTGACAAAGCGGCTGTCATCTCTGATGCTGAGTTGAAAAGTGGCGACTTCTCGGATCCATGGAGGCTTTGCACGGTAACACAAATCGAGGAGTTCAAGATTCTTATCCGCATGTTCCCCATATGGGCTACTGGAATTGTCTTTGCAGCCGTATACGCCCAAATGTCGACGTTATTCGTGGAGCAAGGGACAATGCTGGACAAGACCATTGGTTCTTTCCACATTCCTCCAGCCTCTCTCTCGACCTTTGATGTCGTAAGCGTCATTTTCTGGGTTCCTGTGTACGATAGATTCATAGTCCCAATCGCAAGGAAACTCACAGGAAAAGAGCGAGGATTCACCGAAATACAGCGGATGGGCATCGGCCTGTGCATATCAGTTTTTTGTATGTCAGCTGCAGCCGTGGTAGAGATCAAAAGACTGAGTCTTGCAAGAGAACTCGATTTGGTGCATAAACCAGAGGCTGTACCACTGAGCATTCTGTGGCAAATACCACAATATTTCTTGCTTGGTGCAGCAGAAGTGTTCACATTCATCGGGCAGCTCGAGTTTTTCTACGATCAATCGCCCGATGCGATGAGGAGTTTGTGCAGCGCGTTGTCTCTGTTAACCAATGCGTTGGGGAACTACCTCAGCTCATTCATTCTAACCATTGTAACTTACTTGACAACAAGAAATGGGCAGGCTGGGTGGATACCTGATAACTTGAACGAGGGGCATTTGGATTTCTTCTTCTGGATGTTGGCTGGAATGAGCTTCTTGAATTTGCTGGTTTACATTGTCTGCGCCAAACGCTACCGCCCAAAGAAGGCTTCTTCTTAACCATATCGGTCTCTGTAAGTATATATATAGATTATAAACAGCCCCCATGTCTTCTTTTCTTTCCTAAATTCATTGTTTTTACTTCAAATCGATGATAATTTCGGATCATCAACCATCTTTGGTGGTTGTTAATTTATAAGTGGTTTTAGTCTGTCTGTTATTTGTTTTAAGCTTTGTGTTTGAGAATTTTTCTTGAGAGGTGTTTTTAGCAGTGACTTATAACGATATGTAATAGCTCGGATAATATCTTCTAGTGGTAGATTTGGACTGTCTACAAATGGTGTTAGAGTTAGATATTCGGTGGGTCTCAAAAGGGTGGATTGTGAGATCTCATGTCCGTTAAAAATGGGAACGAAACATTTTTTTATAAAGGGTGTGGAAATCTCTTTCTAACAAACGCATTTTAAAATTGTAAGTCTATTGTAAGTCTGACAACGGATAATATCTACTAGTAGTGGACTTGGGCTGTTACAATGATCCACATGATACACGGAATTATGGAGTTAGATTAATGATGGAATTTGAGCTAATTCTATGTTTCTTTTTTAACTAATGCTATGATTAATATTGAAAACATCATTTTAGTCCATTTATAATTTGGAACGTTCATATCAACGCAGATATTATTATAATCGATAAATATTAATTAGGTTAAATTAATAAAAATACTCATAAATTTTTTAATTTATTTAAAAAATACTTATAAAATTTCAATAACTTTCTTAATTAAAAAAAATATAGTTTCAAAAATTTTGTTTGAAAAACTTTTAAAAATAAATATTTTTTTAAAAAAGTTTAAATGTTAGAATATTTCTAAATATTTATTACAAAAAAAAAAAAAAATTAAGAGTATTTTTTAAAGTTTTTTTTAAAAAAAATTAAAAGTAATATTTTTTAAACACTTTTGAAAAAAGAATTAATAACGTTAAAAAATTTAGTTTTTTTTTTTCCTCTTAATTTAGCCTATTAATTAAATTTACAAAATTAGTATTTATGGTCGGAAGAAAATTAAAATTTATTGCAAAAGGTGGGTCCAACTTAGATTTGGTAGGTGACAGATGAAGTGGGTTGCAAATTTGAAACAGTAATCTGTTCCATTCTGATTAACAGACAGAGAAGAAAAATGGAGAAGTTTCAGTACAAAATGCTCCTCCATTAATGGCGGCTGTGGCTGTGGCTCCCACAAGCATTACAATTCTCTGTATTTGGCATCTCTCTCTCTCTCTAGAACGCGTATGAACGGTTGATGCTGCTAAATTTTCTGCTCTTTTCTTTGTAATGTCTGTGATCGGTGCATGTAATGTCTATGATCGGTACTTGTATTGTCTATGATCGTTTCCGCCATGCTTAGCTACTCCTCTTCCTTCCCCTTCCGCCGTACCCTTCAGATTTTTCTCCTCTTCGCTGCCATTTCTCTCTCGTGCGTTGTTGTTCTAAGAGAAGTCGACTCCCTTCGCGACTTCCCTCTCTTCTCCTTGACTACTTTCTCTGATTCTTCTCCTGTTTCGTTATTCCTCCCTTCCCTCGATGATGACTACAACGAGCCTTTTTCGGTGAGTTAACTCGGTTTCCTTATTTTTACCTTCCTTTCGTGCTTTGGTTTATTAATTCATTAGTTTTTGCGTTTTTTTGTTATTTTGGTTTGTGGCTATCATTCCATTTTGCTTAATCGTGTTTTTTGCTTCTCGTTCGTTTCGAATCGCGAGTTTGAATTTCATTGATGTGAAAGTGGATTATACAATGAATAATCCCTGATGTTGAGGGATGGGGTGTAATGAACACGAATATGGAATTAATTGTTCCTCATTGATGACGCCCAAAAATATAGAAACGATTATGCCTTTCTAGCTGAAGTTTTGATTATCTTGTATACGGCTTGCATGTATGCACTCTGTGTGTTCATCTATTCCTCATCCTCTCTGTCTTTGAAGCATGAAAGCAGAGTTGATTTTGTTTTCTTCTTTGAATTTGAACCTTCAAATCTTTGCTACATCCTGCTAATTTTGCTTTTCTCTGGGTCTGTTAGGGAATGTGCTAATGCTATTTAGGTTGTCTAATATTGCTATCGTCGAAGCTTTCTTTGTTTTCCTAGTTAAAATTCTAGCATTTTAGTTTGAAATAATCTACTTCTTGTCCATTTTCTTCCTTATTTTACATAAGAGTTGCGTGATTTTTCATGAAACCAAGGAAATGATGTTATGTTGTGAATCTCTGAAGAATAAGAAGCTTAATGTTGTTTTGGAAGATGAATTTCCCTGCCAGAAGAACACGCATATAGTAGCACAGTGTGGCTGATATGAACAATGTATAGGAATGTAGACAGACTTTCTCTACTTGTATATGTTGAGGATTGTTGGGAGAGAGTCCCACATTAGTTAATTGAGGGAATAATCATGGGTTTATAAGTAAGGAATACATCTCTATTGGAATGAGGTATTTTGGGGAAGCCCAAAGCAAAGTCATGAGAGCTTATGCTCAAAGTGGACAATATCATACTATTGTGGAGAGTCGTGATTCCTAACTATATACTCTTCTTATTTAATTACAACTTGCTTGTAAACTATTATGCTCTGAGTATTGAACTGTTATGGATTGGGGTTTTCGTTCATGCTTAAATTTATACTTTTAGTACCCCTTTTGTCTGATTATAGGACACTGATGAGTTTGGACTGGACAATGTCTTAAAGGATGCTGCGACAGAAGACAGAACTGTTATTTTAACCACTTTAAATCAAGCATGGGCATCTCCAAATTCAGTCATTGATCTCTTTCTCGAAAGCTTTAGAATTGGAAATCGAACTCACCAACTGTTAAACCACTTGGTTATTATTGCATTGGATAAAAAGGCATTTGTTCGCTGTTTGGATATCCATATTCATTGCTTTGCTCTTGTCACTGAAGGAGTTGATTTTCATTCAGAGGCACATTTTATGACACCTGACTATTTGAAGATGATGTGGAGAAGGATTGATTTTCTGCGAACTGTTCTTGAGATAGGGTACAATTTTGTTTTTACGGTACCATACTCTCTCCTTTCACCTTGAGATTGTTGCTTCCTTAGTTTTTATTAACATCAATAATTCGTTTTTCGATTTCCTTTTAAAGGTTGAGATAAGTATTATCGTGTTGAGGTAAATCATTTACTAAAAGGCAACTGCATATGGACGTTGACCTTCATGACCGATATGGACAACATGTATCAGGGTGTCTTCTGTCTTATTTGGGTATCCAACATTTACCTGGTTGTCTCGAGTCTAAAGTGTTTGACGACATATAAAATATCGAAACCTAGTGTTTGTGCTTCATAACTATATGACATGACAAATATTGAATAGGTGTCAAACTGGATGACAATGTATCTTTTTCTGATTAAGAAGTCCATGTTCCAATGGATGGACCTATTCTCTATGGGAGTTCAGGGAGAGGCTTCCAGGCAAGGAAAGATTCCTTTATTGATTATATCTCACCTCTGCTCCACAAGCTCATTCTAAATTAGGAATTCAAGGTCACTCCAGTGACCACTTTGATGTCTTCCTCATTCACCGTGATAGTGCAACAACACGAGCTTCGAAAGGGAATCAGGCTAAAATTCTTGAACATGCTTGGGTGGTTTCTCGAGGGGAAATATCTTTTTTGGATAGGGGAAATTCCTTTATCAATCAAATGTCACCTCTACTCCCCAAGTTGATTAAGGAATTAGGGTCAATGCATTGCCCCACTTGGTTGTCTTTCGCCTCCACTATGAACAGTAACTCCCATATTGCAAAACATTGAAGCCTCACCATGTTCTCCCTGGCCTTTCATTTCAGTATCAAATTTCTGCTTACGGGAGCAAGACGTGCCTTTCTTAAATTTTTGTGGTTTGAAATCTGCTATTTAGCTGATCAATACTTTCACAACTCTTGGCTGTTTACCAATTACTTTAGGATGTATCAGTTTTTGCTTCCATATATGCTGAAGGATGGCAACGATACTTAGATCAAGATATAATATTTTTAGTTTTTATTTCTGTATTTCTTTTAATTCCGCTACTCTTGTTTCTTCCTTCAGGATGCTGATGTTATGTGGTTCAGAGATCCATTCCCATTCTTTGATATGAATGCAGATTTCCAGATTGCTTGTGATCAATACCTAGGAATCCCTGATGATTTAAGCAACAGGCCGAATGGGGGATTTAACTATGTGAAGTCCAATAATCGTTCGATTGAGTTTTACAAGTACTGGTACTCATCGCGGGAAACTTATCCGAAATACCATGATCAGGATGTTCTTAATAAGATCAAATACGAACCTTTCATCGATGACATTGGGCTGAAGATTAGATTCTTGGATACTGCTTATTTTGGTGGGTTCTGTGAACCCAGCAAAGATTTGAACCGTGTATTAACCATGCATGCAAACTGCTGTGTTGGAATGAAAAGTAAGCTTCATGATCTTAGAATTATGCTTGAGGATTGGAAACGATACATGTCTATGCCACCATATGTTAAAGGATCATCAATTTCAGTTTGGAGAGTTCCTCAGAACTGCAGGTATGGAAACCATTTCTAGCTCTTAAACGATTTTGTGCTTTCATTAGACATGTTCCTGTATTCTCGATTTCCTGTTTATATTTGGTTCTCTTATTCCTTATTGTTCTAGTGTCTGATTTTTGTCACTACAATTCTCCAAGCAAAGAATTGATGAATTCTATCGAACTCAGAGTGATACATATTGAGCATCAACTTTGCATTTCTCATTACTCATTTTGTGGGCGTTAAAGATAGTATCTAAGTACTCATTTTGCGTCGGTTTCTGTAAAATGTACATTGCCAAATCATGATAGCCTGAAGAACACGGCCTACGTAAGATTTATATTAAGCGGGGATGGGGTGGAGGCAGATAATATAATCTCATCCCTAACCCCATTTGAAAAATGGTTCCCACTCTCTTTTCAGGACATGTCCCCGCAGGACGAGATATCTTTGGTTAAAATGTAGATGGAGGGAGTTAATATTAAGGAGTGGGTGGAGTTGGATGCTTAAACCCCATGGGCCAAATACTTTAGTGAACCTCTTTGTTAAAAGCCTTACAGAAACGAAGTATCAAATACGCCAAAGAAAATGAAGCAAAGCGCTTACACAAAACAACAATACTCAAAAGATGGCAACTTTTATTGTATATTACCACTCCTATAAAGGTCTCATCAGTGCCTACTTCGACTGATAGACAACTGATTTGAAACAACAAAGACCATTCAAACACAGTGCTTTGTGCAGAAGCAGCGGCGGCGGAAGCCTCTGCAATGCCCACCATGGAAGCCCTCTGTCTTGCAGACATGGCCGCAGTTGTTCTTACTGAAGCACAACCCCCTGAAGTGGTGGCTCGGAGACTCGCATGTCCTTGCCTCTGTAGCCATTGGCGCCATTCCTGGACCAAATCAACCATTTTAATCGTTAAGCTTCGATGAGTTTTCATTAACAACAAAACAAAAAGAACAAAAACACAAACCAGTGGCAAGAAGCAGCAGGAGCAGCAGAATTGCAGCAGAAAAGAACTTCATATTCACAGAGAGTAAGAGAGGATTTTGTGTTGAATGAGTGAATGTGGAAAGCGGTTTATATTAGCATAAGAATGATCCAGAAAAGAAGATTAAAAGTGAAGATTGAGTGAGTCATAGAGCACTATGTGCTGTGGAAGCTTTAGATCTCCATTCCTCCATGATCCATATGATTTGGGTTTTTTGAGCTGTCTTTCAATTCCCTCAGTCCCCACCACATTCTCATCTACACTCTTATTCACATACAGAGTGTAAACACTGTTACAAAATCAGCCTAAAAAACAAAACTTTAATGCTTTTAAAAAAGTGAAACCTTATAGAAGATTTTCATTAAATTTAAAAAACGATAACATCGGCCGACACCATTTAAAAATACTAAAGAAAATATCCGATAGCGATTTTTCAGTACTATCGTGTGTGATATTTTAAATGTGATCCACATGTAAGAAGAAAAAAAAAAAAAAAAAACTAATTGCGGGTCTGTATAAGAAAGGCCCAAAGCTAATCATGAGTCAGTGAAGTTTCATAAAGTCTTTCTATCGAAGTGTAAGTAGTTTGTATCTTCATGACATGTCTAGACAATGTCAAGATCATTACGTCTTTTATGTGGGTCAAAACTTATCCGATAAGAAATTTCGCTATCTTAGGACCCTTATAGTTATGTTCGCCTTTCACCATTAGATGTGGTGGATTAATCAAACATTTTTATGGTATCAGAGCTTTCTCGGTTTAACAACCTCGATCCTTTTTTTTCAATGGCTTTTGAATCCTCGAATCTTCTTCTCTACCACCTCTACTGGCTTTGACGGCGCAAGGGCAGTCTTCATAGCTGCCGCAGGCGAAGCCAATTGATTACTCTTCCTCTCCACCATATTGACTTCCAAATCACCTTTCGTCATACTCCGTACATACAACTTCACATTTTCCAACCCAATCGGTTTTCCCCTTGGCCAATATAGTCTCTCTCATTTTCTTTCGAATCAACCCTTCATCCTTCACAGAAACCCTAATCTCAGGATCCTTGTGAGTGTTTTCTTCAGAAATATACGGAATCTCGACAAGCTCATCAACCTTTTGCAGAGATTTATCTTCGGAATCTGGGTGCTGCACTGGCCTCTTCGCCAACCAAGTTGCTGTCGGCCTTCCTGCCAAAATTGGCTCCTTCGCCCAATGTGGCGACTCTTCCGGCTTCAACATTGTCTTTGTCCCTTGCTCTAGGTTTCCCTTTCTACTTCTTGGGGTTAGACATATTCTCACCAGAGCCAAGGCAGTATCGTCGCTAAGCGACAATTCCTCTTCATGGGTTAGACATATTCTCGCTGAAGCCAAGGCAGCATCGCCGCTGAGCCATATCACTCTGCAATTTTTGATGGCCAAGAAAGTGTTTCCCTATGCCTCCTTTGAATCAGGTTGTTGACATCTTCATGAAAAGTACTTCTCAACCTCTTTGAATTTTTCAGATTCAAGTTTTACGTTCGTTTAAATCCGAAGCTTAGCTTGAGATGGAGTGTTAAGGATATTTAGTAATAAATTATAGTTTACCATATATATTATATTTGATATTTTATTATAAGGCAAATATCTAATATTTGTCTTATTAGTATGATATCTTTAAATTTATTGTTATTTTCATTTATTATTTCAGTGTGGTGGATTAATCAAACATTTTTAGTAATCCTTTACCTAAAATATACTTAATGTTCTAAACATGGGAAGAGATCCAATTTTAACTTCTTAATTGTTATCCTAAATCTAAATATCATTGTTAGAATATAGAGTCGGATGGATTAAAAGATCTTGTAGAGATATATGGGATCTAGTAGAGATACATATGACAGATATTTTATAAAAATTTGGTAGAGATATATATAATAGATATTTAGTAAAGATCGGGTAAGATATATACAGTAAATATTTCGTAAAAATTTGGTAGAGATATGTTTGGTAAATTATATTTAATGGATTAAATCTCTAAAGATCTAGTATAGATATATATGGTAAATATTTGGGTAAAAATTTGGTAGAGATATATTTGGTAGATTATATTTCATTCGTCATTAAATCTGTTAAAATTATTATAGTAAACTGAAATCATATGTATACATCTATGGAGTGCTTTCAAAAGGTACTTTCTTTATTCTAAGTATTCTCGGTTGGTGTACATATATATGAAGTGATTAATAAAATCTTTAACCAATATTCCTCCTTGAAGTTTCTCTCTCCTGCTCTTGATGAGTGTGTGTTGTTGTGCGATGTTAACAATTAGCATCAGAGCTAGACGAGATTCACCACGAATTGTGAAGATGGAAATTACAAATATTGAAATTAAGAAGTTTGATGGATCCGATTTCGGTTTCTGGAAGATGCAGATTGAAGATTATCTGTACCAAAGAGATCTTCACGAACCCCTGTTGGGAGTGAAGCCGAATACCATGACCATGGAGCAGTGGAAGCTCAAGGATCGTCAGGCCTTAGGGTTGATCCGATTGACGCTATCCAGAAACGTGGCGTCCAACATCATCAAGGAGAAGACGACGTCAGACCTATTGAAGGCATTGTCGAATATGTACGAATAACCATCAGCTATGGACAAGGTGTATTTGATGCGGAGGTTGTTCAATTTACAAATGTCTGAAGGTGGATTTGTTGCTGATCATATAAATGAATTTAATATGATTGTAAGTCACCTGAGTTTGTTGGAAATTAATTTCGAAGATGAAATTAAAGCATTGATTTTGATATCATCTTTACCTGAGTCGTGGGATATTGTTGTTGCTGCGATCAACAATTCTCGAGGATCTAATAAACTGAAGTTTGCAAAAGTATTTGCAAACAAGAAATTGAAAATTCATCTGGTAATAATCTCAGTATTGACCAACGGGAAAGAAGTAAACCGAAGGCCCAAACAAAAGGTGCTCAAAATCAAAGAGCCGAGAGAAACCTCCAAATAGACCAAACATAACGTGTTGGAATTGTGGGGAAAAAGGTCACTTACAGATAGATTCTACGAAGACAAGACACAAGTGATACCATTTCACTAGCATCTTTATGTTTGGAGAAGATAGAGGGTATAAATAATCCAACAAACATGTTCTACAAAATGCTTGGATGTTGGAACATTAAGGTTTTGCAAAGATTCAATTGGTAGGGTGCTTAAAGATTCAGAAGAAAATTAGGTTGATTGGATCAGGCTATTTCTGGTAAGATTTTCATAGTTAAATCTGTTAAAACTATGTTTACTAAACTGAAATCATATATACACACATTGATTGCTGAGTAGACATTCATAAAACCTTTCGCCAATATTCCTTCTTGAATTTTCTCTCTCCTATATGTTTTTTTTTATTAATCTTGATGAGTATAGGTTGTTATACGATCCTAACAACCGTGTGTCTGAATTTTTAGGTTGTCATAGTTTATAAGATAAAATCTCAGTCTCACATGATAGAAACTCAATTAACTCAGGAGCTTATCAATATAATTAAAGTCTTACTTTTAGTTTAGCTAACGTGTTAGAGCTCATCATAGAGTTTTCATATCAAGTTCGGATCGTCTAACCCTTCTAAGCTTAACTCATCATTTGGGTTTGTAGATCTTAGCTCATATGAGCTTTTCTCATCGTTGGATTTGGACCATCTAACTATGCTCTATACCATTCTAGAGTGTTTTTAGATATATTAAATATAAAGGAAAAAAATATATTTTTTATATTTGATATATTAAATATTAAAATAATTAAATATAATAGATATATTAAATAAAAATATATTTGAAATTTATATGAAACTTAAATGGGTTTAATTTATATTGAGATATTTAAATATATTAAATAAATATTATACATGTATTAAATATTCAAACATATATAGATACAAATAAAAATTCTTGGGTTAAGTCAAATGTGCATTAGATATTTTTCTCTTTGTACGGTCCACGCACCCGCACATGAACCTTCAAGTGACCCCATATATGTATTCCTATACCTGGTCTTCAGCTAGCATGCACTCATGTTGTGGGTATACCACGAAGGGAGGGATCGCGCATAGTTGTACATAATATCGTATCATAAGTGTATGCATCTATACTGATCATAATGGGGAAGTATCCTTATTCATGTGAACAATACAATATGCATGAGGTCCTCGTCGTTTAAGATAATGACATGTATTAGTGATGTAATACATATTTTCGTTCATTCCATACACAACATAATCATTTCATGTCACATAAGGTAAAAGTACACTAAATACCATATTTTCTTCGATTTAAATTTGCTTAATCTTTAGTTTTGTTTAATTCTAAACAAAATCAAAGTCGATTTGAAATCTTATGTTCATGAATGAAATGTTCATTCCAAATATCTAGACATGATCCATAGAGGTCGTTCACTATTAAAGATTAACGGACGACCCTTTAATTTAATATCTATCATTGCATAATCACAAGAGAAATGACCACATGATTCAACCAAAACTAGGCTAAGAATTAGTTGACGATATTAACAATCCCCATTTAGTAAGCTAATAAACGAGGCTCATTAATAATACATCGTAAATAACGTCTTAAATTACATAAACAATGGGGGCAAAGATGGCCACTTTATTCTTTATTCAAAATTAGTTTTGAGCGTCTAGTTTGAGAAATAGACAATAAGATGAGGATATTATTCAAAATTAAAAGTTTCAAACACAGTGCTTTGTGCAGAAGCACCGACGGCGGAAGCCCCTGCAATGGCCGCCGTCAAACCCCTCTGTCTTGCAGATACTGCCACAATTGGTGTCACTGAAGCATACACCCTTGAAATTGTGGCTCTGGGATTCGCATACCCTCGCCTCTGCTACTATTGGCCCCATCCCTGTCCCACCAAAAGCCCTCGCCTCGGATACCATTGGCGCCATCCCTGTCCCACCAAAAAAAACGAATGACTTTAAAGATGTGTTTTAAAATTTAATCACACTGATAATACTAATAGATATTGTCTTTTTTTTCGACTTTTTTCATACTCTTATAAAAAATGTTTAGTTCTCCTCTCCAACCAATCTGAAATCTCACAATTCACCACCTTTCGGAGCTTAGAGTCTTCGCTGACACTCATTTCCCTCTCCAATCAATGTGGGTTCTCACAACGTCTTCACTGGTACACCAGTGGCATGGATTGTAAAATCCCACATTACCTGGAAAGGAGAACGAAAAGAACGCTGGACCACCGAGGGGTGGATTGTGAGACCCCATATTGGATGGAGATGAGAACTAAACATTATTTATAAAGGTGTAGAAACTTCTTACTATAAATGCATTTTAAAAACTTGTATAGAAGCTCAAAAGGGAAAGCACAAAAAACACAATATTTGCTAGCGGTGGGCTTGGATGGTTATAGGTAGAGATGTTTATTTAACCCAGTGAACTGCCTCAAACCAAGGATGAGAGTCAGAACTAAAAGATATTTTATTGGATAAACGGGATTAGGGACGGAGATTACATTCTCCGTTTCTGTCCCGTCCCCGTCCCCATCCCCGCCCAATAAACATATTTTCATAATTCTTATAAATTAAAAAATAAAAATAAAAAGTACTCATATTTCTAATCAAACATATATTTTCATAAACAACTTTAGACAAATGCTTTGAACAAAAGTCAAAAGCAAGCATGATGATTTTGAAGGTGAGGAGACAATTTTAAACGAGCATGCCATAAACACTTTCAATGACCCAAAACTTAAAAAGCAATGCCTCCAAACAAGCACAAAGATTCATTCAACAAACACAGAAGCATAAACCTGTGCCAAAAATGAGGAGCAACAAGAAGATTGCAGCTGAAAAGAACTTCATGTTCAAGTTGTGTTCTTGAGTTTTGTTGAATGAAAGTTGATACCCAAGTAGGGTTTATATAAGGGTTAAGAGAGGTATTAAAATGATAGATGATGATACACAAAAGGCATATAATGAGCACTTGGTTTGGTTTAACTCAGTTGTCTGATTCAATATCCCTTTGTCTCCCACCAAATTTCACTCTTTAATCAATTAGATAGCAACTGGTTTTAGACTAAATCATAATAACTGAGTCATGGGGATTCTTAAAGTTAAACCTAAAATCTTGCTTTTATACTCACGAACCCACTTTAATTACCCCTTGTTTTCACGTTCTACTCACACTTGTATTTAGTTAGATTGAGTTGGGTTCGAAAAATCTTTTGACCCATATGAAATTTTTTGTTAGTTGAACTGGTGACTAATAATAACTCTTAATACAATTCACAACTTAACCTTCTATTTACTTAAAAAATCTTATTTATCGAAGAAGTATCAATAACTAAAATTTCATAAAAGTTCAAATATTAAACATTCATAAGTCACATCCCATCACTAAGATTGGTTACAAATAAATATTTAATTTTTTTTTTTTTTTGTAATAGCTCAAACTGAGCCCACCTCTAATAAATATTATCCCTTTTGAACTATTATGTATTGTTGTTGGCCTCATGATTTTAAAACACGTCTATTAGGGAGAGTTTTCCACACCATTACAAGGAATGTTTCGTTCTCCTATCCAATCAAGATCTCACAATCCACCCTTAGTGTCCTCCCTAACACACCCACCGCCTGATGTCTGCCTCTAATACTATTTGTAACAATACAAACCCATCACTATAAAATATTGTACGTTTTAGCCCGTTACATATCGTCGTTAGCCTCACAGTTTTAAACGTGTTTTATAATTCTAACATGTTTAAAACTGTGAGGTTGACAACAATAGGTAATGGGCTAAAATTGACAATATTACTAGTACTAGTGGTGGGCTTGGACCGTTACTTTTTTTAAAAAAGTAGAGTTGATTGAATTGTAACTCTATTTTCGGGTTGGTCAGGTTAACCTTATAATTGGGGTCGGATAATTCGAGTGGATTGAGACAATTAAATCATATGAACTGTCCAATTTTGAGAAAGTTACTGTTTAATTTGGTAGTTTGTATGTTAAAGTAAAATTCGCTTTAACTTTTGTTAAATTTCATATACTCTCCGTTCATTCCTATCTCCTTCTTTTTTACTCTGAGTATGACACTTAAAGGACTTAAAAATAATAATAAAATAGAATTCATGATTAAAAATGTTAGGCAAAAGTGGGTTTACTACCTTTAAGATAAATTAAACATCGATTATTCTTAATTAATTTCAAACACAAGTGGGCTACTTGATCATGGTTAATTATTTAAAAAACAAAAAAAAAAAAAAACAAGACACTTCCTTTCCAAATGTAATTTCGATGTCCAAAAGGACAACCTGCGATGTCGGCTGCTCCATTAGAAACAAAACAAGACATTGAAAATTAGGTCCATTGATTGAACGTGATGCATGATTTTATTAACATTTCTATCTCTCGAGGATGAAAATCAAGAAATCCAACCCTTTTACGTTTCTAAACTCGTGCATGTATTATAGTAATCAAAGATTTTGGAGTCCCATCATAAGATTTACGTTAAATATTCAAAACGAGATTGCTAGAACCTCGATATGATTTAGGTTAAACTTTTTTTTTTTTAATAGTTTTACCGGTTTTAAATGCCCTCGTCGTGAGCCATAAAAACTCAGACACCATTTAAAAAAAGAAGAATAGTTTGAGTGAGTATAACATAAAAAAATTGTGGGTTCTTGTTACTTAATCTTTAAATGCTATTAATACTTATCTTGAAATATAAACGTCGTATTTCTAGACTTAACTCGTTTTAGTGTGTAATTGACTAGAACCTTGTCAAACCAAATTACATATGTGAGCTAGCTATAAATGAGTTCTTGCTACTGGAAGTAGTGGGTGACAATCTCCATCATAGTATCATCATAAATATAAGAGGAGTGACTAGTGTTTGTGTCTTGCCAACAAAGATACATATGTGCTCATCCATGCAACATTTATGAGATCTTTTGCTTGCATGGAATGATATGAGGTATGTGATATAAACTTGTAACGATTACTCATCTGTGTACAAAGAAATTGCATTGAAGTTGTGTGTATGAACTTGTGGCAATTACTCATATATGTGAGATCCCATATCGATTGGAGAAGTGTGGAAACCTCTTCCTTTAAACGAGTTTTAAAAATCTTGAGGAGAAGCCCTTGAACGGAAAGCCTAAAGAAAACGATATCTGCTAGTGGTAGGCTTGAGCTGTTATAAATGGTATTAGAGTCAGACATCGGACGATGTGCCAGCTAGGACGCTAGGCCTCAAGGAGGTGGATTGTGAGATCACATATCAGTTGGAGATGAGAACGAAACATTCTTTATAAGGGTGTGGAAATCTCTTCATAGAAGACGTGTTTTAAAAACCCTAAGGCTGACAACGATACGTAGCGGTGGGCTTGAGCTGTTATAAATGGTATTAGAGCTAGACATCGGGGGATGTGCTAGTGAGGACGCTAGGCCCCAGGGGGTGGATTGTGAGATCTCACATCGGTTGGAGAGGAGAACTAAGCATTCCTTATAAAGGTATGGAAATCTCTTCCAAAGAAAACGCATTTTAAACATCGTGAGACTGACGACAATACATAACAGGCTAAAACGGATAATATCTACTAGCGGTGGGCTTATGTTATTACTACTCATTTGTGTCAATGAGAATTATGTCACCACTTTGTGATTGGTACTCATGGTGTCTACTCATCCATGTGTAGAGTTAATTGATTCAGTTTGAAAAGGTTTCAAGTCTCTCAATTTTAAGATACATTTTTGTTATACATATAAATATCAAACATCAATGGGAGACATCCTTTCAAAATAATTTTTTCATGACGAGGAACGTTGCTAGTTGCATCCTGAACCCGTGTCTTCTTATATTTATATTTAACTTCCACACATTCGTATCAGATCAAAGTTCAAGCATATAAAGTTCAAGAAACAAACTAGAGTAATTGAGATTAAAACTTTAGCTTAAAGCAGATATGAACATATAAAAAGTTTCATTTTCTTAAAAGCATTAAAGTTTTGTTTTTTAGGCTGTTTTTGTAGCAATGATTACACCCTGTATGTGAAAAAGGGTGTAGATGGGAATATGGTGGGGACTAAGGGAATTGAAAGACAGCTCAAAAAACCCAAATCATATGGATCATGAAGGAATGGAGATCTGAAGCTTCCACAACACTTAGTGCTCTATGACTCACTCAATCTTCACTTTCAATCTCCTTTTCTGGATCATTCTTATGCCAATTTAAGTGCCAAAGTGGTCTCCCAATCTTTATATAAACCGCTTTCCACATTCACTCACTCAACACAAAATCCTCTGTTTCTCTCTGTGAATATGAAGTTCTTTTCAGCTGCAATTCTGCTGCTCCTGCTGCTTCTCGGCACTGGTTTGTTTGTTGTTCTGTTCTTTGATCTTTTTGTTTTGTTGTGTTCTTTGAGCTCGGTTAGATGATTAAAATGGTTGATCTGGTCCAGGGATGGCGCCAATGGGTACAGAGGCAAGGACATGCGAGTCTCCGAGCCGCCACTTCAAGGGGTTGTGCTTCAGTAAGAACAACTGCGGCCATGTCTGCAAAACAGAGGGCTTCCATGGTGGGCATTGCAGAGGCTTCCGCCGCCGCTGCTTCTGCACAAAGCACTGCGTTTGAGTGGTCTTTGTTGTTTCAAATCAGCTGTCTATCAGTTGAAGTGGACACTGATGAGAGCGTGATAATAGAATAAAAGTGGCCATCTTTTGGGTATTGTCGTGTTGTGTAAGGGCTTTGTTTCATTTGCTTTGGTTATGATTTGGATTAATGTAATGTTATTCATATAATGGTGTCTTTCATGGCTTCGTTTTGGCTCACTTAAGCTATTCTTTGACACTCTCAGCTTCATTGTACCTTTTAACCTCCCTGTCTTCCCATACATTGATATCAAGCTAGAGTAAGCAACTACACATTTGTCAAACCCCTTCTCCTCCATTTCTGCTTTCGAGTACAGCCCGACATGGCAGTAGGCGTTGATCGCTGAGGTGTAACAGCTAAGCCTACCGTGATCCATTCCCATGGGAGCCAACGTTCTCTCTGGCACACCACCTGTTGTCTGCTTTTAATACTCATTGTAATAACTCAAGCCCCGCTAGCAGATATTGTCACTTTTAGGCTTTTCCTTTCAAGTTTCCCTTTGTTTTTAAAACACGTCCGCTTAAGAAATTTTTCGTTCTTCTCTTCGGCCAACGTGGAATCTCACACTCCACCCATTTGCCTCTTTGGAGCCGAACGTCCTCATTGCCACACCACTCGGTATCTGGCTCTACCATTTGTAATAAAATATTGTTCTCTTTGGGCTTTCACTTGTTCGACTTCCCACCCGATCAGCTTCTCGTAAACCCTAACCCCTTCTCCGGGCGTAGCCATTGACAATTCCACAGAAAATGCAGTCAGACACTCCAATTTTAAAGCCCTTCATCACTTCCACAATCTCAAGTGCCTTCTGTAATGACCCTTGTTGAATATACATCAATATGAGCTTTAGAAACATTGCAGGATCTCTCAAAAACTTCTTGGCTTTTGCCTCATTGTAAAGATCTTCAGCCAGTTGAACTTCCTAAATGCTTGCATAAGTGCATATCAAAGACGACTAAATGGTATAATCCTCTTCAATCCCTTTCTTCCTCATATCTCTAAAGAACTCAAGCGACTCGAACACTCGCCCTAATTTCGCTAATGATTCGCAAAGAATCCCATCAATTTTTACCGAAAAGGGCGTAAAATTCACAATCTTACTCTCAACTACTAACCAATCTAGAACAAGTATCAATATCAGGGCAAACACCATAATCATCAAAATCTCAAGAAACTAACAAAATAAAATCCCATTTCTTCAATCGCACTAAGTACCTGATTAGATGCCTCAATGCCGATTTCACGTAATACTCGTAGATCTAATCCTTCAGGGAGTTTAAAATCTTGAAGAAGAGTCCAAACCGATCTCGGTTAGGGCAATGGGGGATTGTTCAGGGATCGGGGAAAGGCTACCGGAGGAATTTAGATGAAGAGATCGAAGATCGAGAAAAAGAGAGCGAGATTAGTGGCTGGGATGATGGGATTACCTGATAGAGCTTACTGGAGGCGGTGACCAGTCAGTAGAGCCGGTAATGGCCATCGGAGATAAAAGTCCGAAGGCAGGGGAGGAGGATCAGAATGCTATGTATGCATACCATTTCCTTAACGACGTTGGTTAACATCTTGCCAGCCACTGAATTTGTGCCACGTAGGAAGTTTCTGGACACATAGGCCTTGAGGGATTTTCCACGTCAGCATAATGTAATACGGCCATGAATAAATTATAATGAATTCTCAAATTTATATTGTAAATAATAACTAATTAAAATAAAAAAAAAAAATTAAAATATTACATAATTTAATATTTCACAAATTAAATAGAAAATTTTAATTTTATATAAGAAAGTAAAGGTGAGGGGTACCCAAGAAAATAATTAGATGATTGGGGTGCTATTGTTAATTTAAATTTCTATAGGGGTATTTATGAAAATTAGAAAATTCATCAAAACCAAGCAGGCCCTAAGCTTGCGAACTGGTGGACGCCATGGGCCAAGCAAATCTGGGTTAAGCCCTAATTGGGTTTCGTTCTTTTCATTTCTCAATTCCGTGCTGCTTCAGGTTCAGTCCCGATTCGGTCTGGTCATTTTCAGAATCCCTTCGCTTTTGAATTTCAGTCCAGCAAGCAGTTCGATTCGCAGTGGCGCGGTTGGTCTATGCCCATAAACCCTAAAGCCCTAAAACCTTGCAGCTCAGGATTTTACCACCCATTATTCTAATATGAGCATCCATTGCTTTAAAGAAGATGAAGCGTTCCGTTGAAGTTCTTGCCTTTGCTTCACTCTTCTCAGCGATGTTACTTTTCTTTCGCAGTCTTTTCCACGTTAGTCGCAGAGCCTCTTACCGAGTAATCTCTCTATCTTTCAATTCCTCGCATCCGGGATGCCTTTCTTTTGATGTATTTAATGGCCCATCATCGCTAACGTCAATAAATGGCTATTACATTTCTTGCCCCTTTTTCTGGTTTTCTAGCTTTCTTTGTATATTTCGGCTCCCTTTTGTTAGTTACTCGATTACAAATGATTCTTTTGAACTTTTAGACATTGGTTCCCTTCGTAAAATTATACAACAAGACCTCTGGAATGATCCTAAGATTGTTGTTTTATTTGATTCAGCACTAGCGCCCATTTGGGTTTCTAAGATTTTAGTTGAATTGAAAGAAGATCCAAAATTAGCCCTTAAATTCTTCAAATGGGCTGGAACCCATTTTGGTTTCCGCCATACCACAGAGTCTTACTGCATTATAGTTCACATGCTGTTTCGTGCGAGAATGTATACAAATGCCCATGATATTATGAAAGAAATGGTTTTGAAGAGCCGTACTGACTTGATTTTACCCGTTTGTAATGTATTTGATATTTTATGGTCGACTAGGAACTTTTGTGTGTCAGGAACAGGAGTCTTTGACGTTTTGTTTAGTGTTTTGGTAGAGTTGGGTCTGCTTGAGGAAGCTAATGAATGTTTCTCAAAAATGAGGAAGTTTAGGACTCTTCCCAAAGCACGTTCTTGCAATTTTCTCTTGCATAGATTATCGAAGTCAGGGAATGGACAGTTGGTGAGGAAATTTTTCGATGACATGATTGGGGCTGGTATTGCACCTTCAGTTTTTACCTACAATGTAATGATAGATCACTTGTGCAAAGAAGGGGATTTGGAAAATGCTAGAAGTTTGTTTGTGCAAATGAGGACGATGGGCTTTTCTCCAGATGTTGTCACATATAATTCTTTGATTGATGGCTATGGCAAGGTTGGTTTATTAAAAGAATCTGTGTATTTATTTAATGAATTGAAGGATGTAGGTTGTGTTCCTGATGTAATTACCTATAATGCTTTGATCAATTGTTTCTGCAAGTTTGAGAAGATGCCTCAAGCTTTTGAGTATCTCTCTGAGATGAAGAACAATGGGTTAAAACCAAATGTTGTAACCTATAGCACATTGATTGATGCTTTTTGCAAGGAGGGAATGATGCAAGGTGCCATTAAACTTTTTGTTGATATGAGAAGAGTTGGGCTTTTACCTAATGAATTCACATACACTTCTCTGATTGATGCCAATTGTAAGGCAGGTAATTTAACCGAAGCTTGGAAGTTGTCCAATGATATGTTGCAAGCAGGAGTTAATTTAAACATAGTCACCTATACAGCTCTAATGGATGGCCTTTGTGAGGATGGAAGAATGATGGAAGCAGAAGAAGTGTTCAGGGCAATGCTGAAAGATGGAATATCTCCCAACCAGCAGGTTTACACTGCTTTGGTTCATGGCTATATTAAGGCGGAGAAAATGGAAGATGCTTTGGAAATATTGAAGCAAATGACCGAATGTGGCATCAAACCAGATTTAGTACTCTATGGCACCATTATTTGGGGTCTCTGTAATCAAAACAAACTTGAAGAAACTAAGCTTATTATTAAAGAAATGAAAATTCGGGGTATCCGTTCTAATCCTGTTATATATACAACAATTATAGATGCTTATTTTAAGGCTGGAAAAAGCTCAGATGCATTGGATCTTCTTCAGGAGATGCAGGAAGTTGGTGTTGAGGCAACCGTTGTAACCTACTGTGTATTAATTGATGGCTTGTGCAAAACAGGTATGGTGGAAGTGGCAGTTGATTATTTTGGTAGAATGTCTGATTTTGGTGTACAGCCTAATGTTGCAGTTTATACGGCCCTCATTGATGGTCTTTGTAAAATTAATTGCATTGAATCTGCCAAAAAGTTGTTCGATGAAATGCAATGTAGGGGTATGACTCCGGATAAAACAGCTTTCACTGCTCTAATTGATGGCAACTTGAAGCTTGGAAATCTTCAGGAAGCTTTGAATTTGATTAGCAAAATGACAGAATTAGTTATTGAGTTTGATTTGCATGCTTATACGACCTTGGTTTCGGGATTTTCTCAATGTGGTGAGCTGCACCAAGCGAGGAAGTTCTTTAATGAGATGATTGAGAAGGGCATACTTCCCGACGAAATTTTATGCATATGTCTATTGAGGGAGTATAACAAGCTTGGACATTTGGATGAAGCCATCGAATTGAAGAACGAAATGCAAAGGAGGGGTTTAATTACTGAAAAGTGCAGCCATGAAGTTCCCAGTCTAAAAACTTGAGGAGTCCAATCCAATCGTCTTTGGTTTATGGAAGCAAGAGTTTGTATTTCAATTGCAAGCCCATGTGGTATTTAGTTGGAAGTCAGAGTTATATGATGACCGAAGAAACTCGCCATTTCAATGGGTTTCTTGTTTTATTGAAAGAATTTGCAGGCCCTGCATGATGATGTATCTGATGTTGGTTTTGGAAGTACTGGTGCAAAATTTTCCATCTGATAAGATTCGATTCGATACTTCTAGTTTTTAAATGACGTTTCGCAGAAAAATCCCATCACGTTATGTGTTCTTTGATCAATCTTCTATGAATGTGAGTGACAGTCTTTCTCATCCTTTTCCTCCTTTTTCCCGAAAGAAGATCTTTATTTAGATATAGGTTACTAGCATGCTATTTTTTGCATTTATATGAGATTATAAGTGATAACTTTTTCTTCAATGATTTTGCATGATGCTTCCCTCTTGTTTATCAACTAATTTTGCATGTCGGTTTGCAGGTCCAGAGAGGTTCCTTCATCCTGTGGTACGAGATATTGATTCCCAGGGAATCATTCTGGTCGGTTATTATTACAGATGGAAACCTATTCATTCAAGTTGAAGGTCATACCTTCATATAATGAGCAAGGTGATAACCTCATTCTTCATGCTTGTTTATACTTGAATTTCAGTATTCAGCTTTGTAGGCATATGGTCACTTTTGTAATGGGTAAAGTGGTTAGAAAAGCTGCTCTCTTATCATGGGACTGGAGGTTCTCACAGGAACCTATCTTTTTCTGCTGTTCTTTCCTCCATTGAGGAAGAGTGGAAGGTTCTTATGGAGATTATTCAAAGCTTTCAACCTAACCCAAGAGAGATTCTTTGAAATGAATTCTTGATTCTTTCCAGTTGTTTATGAGCATCTCCTTCTTTTCATTTTCCATGATTGGTCATAGTATTTGGCCAACAAATCTTGCCAGGAGGATTTGGGTGGCAAAATTCCTATGAAACTCTGAACATCCCTCTGATCTCCTTCTCTCAATTCTATGAATACGCCAAGTCATGCTAACTTACCTTCCTCCTCAAATTTATGGTGATTGCCATGGACATCAATCATCTTTTCATTCATTGCCTGTTTGCTTACAAACGCATGTTTTCTCGATTTCTCTTTTGCCCCTGTAGGTTTGCCTGAGAGTATGAGTGCAATTGCGTTGGTTTTTGGCTTACAATTCCATACTGACATCAAGATTTTATAAGAAATCCAAACAGATCAAGTCAACGAATCAATAAACCCATCTGTATTTGCAATTTTGAAACTATACAGAATAGAATAGGCCAATACCAGTACCTAATTGGCCAAACTGACCTGATTCAATCAGTTTTGATTTTCATGGACATGCCTATCCGTCTCTTTCTGAGTTCTGAAAGCCTGTGGTGCCCCCCCCCCCCCCCCCCCCCCCCCCCCCCCCCCCCCCCCCCCCCCCCCCCCCCCCCCCCCGGTTTGTAGGCTTGTTCTCCGGTGGTTGGGAATATTGTGTATCTTTTCACTGGAAACGTAAGTGATCAAAATACGAGGGTCTTTCATGTTCGTTATACAGGGATTACAGCCCCCTTTTGGCTACAGTAATGTTCTCTTATTCTATTGGAGTTTGAGTTCATTTAGAAGGCGTTTTTATAGCCATTCTACTACTACTATTGCTAGCAACTGGACAACTTTTATGTAATTTCAAGTTGATTGGGGGCTTGAGAGTTGTCGTATATTTCTCTCCCTTTCAAAATGTTCCTTCCTGGAGTATAACTCAGTGACCTTTTTCTCTCCTCCAAAGATAGTTTCCTTTGTGAATAAGGAGCCACGTCTGTGGTGTTTTTATTTTAAATTATGAAAAGCACCTTGAACTTTGTCTTTTGATTAAAAAATACCTATATCCTTCAAAAATTGTTATATGACCTTCGACCTTTCATAAACGATTCCAAACTACTCTTAGAATAGAAAAACAATTAAAATGTTGGACGAAAAGTCTTTTAGATTCAATCCAAGTGTTCTAGTTATTGTCATGTTATTCTAGACTTCCACCATGTTGGTTTTCTGTCTAACATTCTATCGGATTTCACTGACATGATAGTTTTAAAACGGTTATGAAAGGTCAAAGGTAATATTGCACATTTTGAAAGAATACGAGTATTTTAAAAATGAAGAGCAAAGTTCTTAGGTAGTGTGTTTTAATTGTCTATCATATAGGTTGTTTTTATTTCTATTGCTAGACATAGTTTGCTACGAAAAGCTACATTGCTTATCACTTAGCAGGGGTTAGTCATTTCAAAGGTGCTTTTCCTTCTCAAATAATTTTTTTCTGAGTGAACTGATTATCAGTACAATCTTCATTTCTGGACGTTGATTTTGGCACATCCATTCATTTAAGTTGAGCAGAAGCAGCAACTAAGATGTGTCACATTAGCATGGTAAAACTTGAGTTAATGATGACTCGTTCCCATAACTGTTCGTTATCGATCTTCAGGAGTCATAGTGTAGGCAACAAACCTTAGTACGGATGCCTTAGATCAGAGCTTAGTTTCACAGAGAAGTTTGTGTCGTTGTTCTGATTGTTTGAAAATTTGTCGGATTTATTTATGGCATGTATTACATATTGTCTTTTCCATTGGAAGCCACATGATGAAATGATTTTAAGATATGTCTGTTTGAAATTCTCAGATGCTTGGTTCAAGAGGGGGCTTATTTTGGCACATCAATTATAGAAGCCACCCATGTTTATGGGGTTGCCATACGCCTGCTTTGAGAGTTTCGCGTGCTATGATTGTGATTTGTTTGGCTCCTCATGTGTAAATGCAAGTTTCAAATCTCAAAAGCTCTGGAAGGAGGAAGCTGCACAATAATTTGTTGTAGCCTTGCAGAATGAAGCCCAGAAAGGTGAGAGGTGATGTAATGTACAAATTCTTTAGGTTAAAAAATCTTCATAAACATTTCATCTCGTACTTGCCATTTACGGTTGAGTTATGCCTACTCTGGTTTTACTAACAATATCGAACTGAGCATAGTTCAAAACTGATCAAATGCACTCCTTCAATGACTATGACTAGAGTACAATACCATCATAGACTGTTATGGGTGCGTATTCAAATTTGTCGAATCACTCATGTTATGATCTTCTACATTCTAGGTCTTTTCGTTCGTCTGACTTATGTTATTCATGGCATTCATGTAGCATCCGACTTATCTGATCTTCTACATATTACAGATAACGTAAGAAACATCTCTATTTTTCCTTTCGAGAATCCTTAGGATTACCACTGGCTTAGCTTTCAATGTCTCCAACCTTCAAATGAAATGTGAACAACCCATCCTCCTCTCTTTGAAACAAGGGATGCTTCTGGGTCTGTCAATGCTTGAAATAATTGAGTCTTCTCCATGTTACTATATCTCTAGAGTCAATAATTTTATATGAGGAACTATCGAACTCAATTACTTGCTGTCGTTAGTATACCCGACGTATATTGAAGCCATGTAAATGCACTTTAGCCTTAACAGGAACGATTGAAATTTGTTGTGCGTTGATCTTAAAACTGACATGTCGACTTCCTTTCTTGGTTGGTAAAGTGTGGCATCATGGAGGAAAGACTCATTGTACACCAACAAAGATAGAGGAGATTGTGGCACTTTCTCAGCTAAGTTTTTAGAATATGACTACCCTTACCCAAAAGATTGTATTGTAACACATAGACGTCAGTTTGTTGTATGACTCTGGGCTAGCACAGGCTATGTAGTAACCATGCCACACTTTCTTTAAAATTAGTGAGTGACCTCATTAGATGTCATCGGGCAGGGTGTCTCCATTCCACCCACCTATTTCGTTTCTCTTTATTGTAAAATTTCTTCACAATTATTTTTTATGTTTGTTATTATTTTAAAAAGAACAGTTATTTTAAAGTTTTCATTTTTCAATATAATCTTTATTAAAAAAATGGTAAAAGAATCCTAATAATTAATATATTTCATAATATATATTCTAAAGATTTAAATTTTAATATTATAACATACTCCTTAATCATAAAAAAAAAAATATGCAACATAGTTTTTAGTTTAAATATCACAATTAGTCTTAAAATTAGTTAATTTTAGTTGTGTGTGGGGGAGGGAGGCAAGGATTTGGGCGGGGAGACGAGGATATGGAATAATCATTTTTCTAATAGAAAAAAAAAAATATTGCTTACTCTCCCTCATTCTTGGTTCTCTGTCTAAACAAGAAATTCCCTTCCTCCCCCATTCGGGACAGGTCCTCATAAGTAAAATTGACATCTCTATTCTCAATCTCAAGTTTCTAGACGGGTACAACGTCAAGAAATAACACTAGTCTAAAGGCCGGTAGCAATAGCCATAGGCTTATTTTCTGATGAAAGTAGTGACTTTTCCAGTCCAATCTCGACCTGAGTTGTGACCGAAAAATAAGTTGTTTAGTTTCAAATCCTACCCAATAGGTTGAATAATACCAAACTTAATGGATTTAAGCAAAGAAAAAAAAAAGATATAGATATATATATATTAAAGGAGAAAAAATGTGAAGAAAACTTCTCCATTAATTTGTTGGTCGAATTCGTTTAATTTGGTGAAAAATTCGGATAATTCAATGAGATGTGGGCATAAACGTATATTCACTTCATGCTTTAGGCTAAAAGTACGAAGTTTTTAAAAGTAGGCTAATTGTCCAAACTCAAAACTTAAATGGGCCATTTTAAAGAAAAAAAAAAAAACCCGCTTGCTTTTGCTTTGGGAGGAGGTGTGGATGTCAGACTTAGGTTTCGGAACTGCCTTCGCTCATCTCTGAAGCTCAGCTACGGTCAGCCTCGGGTACGCTTTTGTTTCCATCTCTCCCCATAGCCGTTGAAATCCTTTTCTTCACATTTTTCAAATCCCTTCTTCAAATTCACTTCAATCGCTCCCCATCAATGTCTTCCTCTCATCTTCATCTCTTCTCTATCACAGGCAATGAGCTTTACGCGCTACGGTTTTGGTTTGAACGCAGAAGAAGACGGTGTTTTCTGTGTTTGATTCTCGTACTTGCTTGGAAGATATGACTACAAGAGTTCCAGTGCAGCACTACGATCTGAGAACGGCGAATTCATTCATCGGCAGTGCTCTTCATGATCTCAATACTGTAGATGGAAGCCCTTCTGATATTGAAGCCATCAGCGACGTTGATCGCGATGCCGTCACGGAAGATCGTTTGGATGACGACCAAGATTCCAGTGCTGTTGTGAGTGTTCTTCTTTCCCTTTACGTGTCTCTTTACCTTTTCTTCAGGATTTGTCGGATAATTGTTGCTGCTAGACGACTGAATACTTGTAGCCATGAGGTTGATTGTCCTTGTTTCCATTTCCTAGCCTAGTGAACATGGAAAAGTCATAATCCGAGGTCACTGTTTCAACTTAGAGAGCTGAATTGCGCGTTTTCAGCTATTAAATAACTGAAGGCTTCTTGCTTAGTTGCGGCTCCATTTCTCACTGTTGTTCATGTGTTCTTCAATTTTTCTATAGGACTGCATGCACGAATCCTACAGAAGTCCACTACCCCTTCACACTGTGGGAGTGGAAGAAGATCGCTCAAGTCTTGATAATAGTGGGTCTTCCAGGTTGTCTTATAATTCTTTAACAGTAGAGGGTAATGTCCACATATCTGAAACTTATCAATTAAAAGGAATTCTGGACTTCCATCTCTGCTAAGCCTTCTTGGACTTTTGTTTAGATCGTTTATCGATTGATATAAACTGAGTTTTGGTTCAGATATTTCACCTATTGAAGCAGCACGAGCAAGATTTCTCCAGATCGTTGTGGATCATTTTATTGATGATCATGTACTTGAAGTGACTGAGACTGACAATGATTATATCTCTCAGTCTGGGCAGGATAAATTGACAAAGAGGAAGACAAAGGAGGTCCAGTATGAAGGGGATCCAAAATTTGTCTTACCCTTGATGTATGTAGCAAATATGTATGAAACGCTTGTTAATGATGCAAATATTAGGCTTTCTTCCTTGAGTGGCATACGTGATAAAACTATTGGGGTAGCCCTTGAAGCAGCTGGAGGTTTGTACAGGAAGCTGGCTCAGAAATTCCCCAAAAAAGGTACAAAATATTACTCTTTAGTTGTGTTTCCAAGGGGCAATTTATCGTTCTTAACTCCTAAGCATTACGATTTTTCTCTCCAATGATTTTTTTATAGTGGAAATTCCTGGAAAAATTGTATGGTAATGTTTCTGGGAAAATATTGTTTGTATGTACTTCGATGACTGTTTTTTAGAACCTATTTTTCTTGAACAAATGAAGCTGTTTTAAATAGTGGTTTTATTGCCCATGCTGACTTTTCAAGTCAATCTGAAAAAAGGTTAGAATAATTTTGAACATAGAGCAGAAAACTGTTCTCAAACAAGCCATCTAGCCCCTTCCTTTTCCCATCATATGGTACATTGTGAAGAGTGCAATACATAGAAATTGGCTTCTTTTATTGATTGGCAGCCAGATGAAACTAGATTTTCTTGATACTTTGAAATTGTTTAGCAAAAGCTTTCTTTTTTTTCCTTTTAATTATGTTACTTCTTCTATCTTAATGACATCATATTGCTAACAGGCCCTTGCACATATAAGAGAAGGGAACTTGCAACTTCTCTTGAAACAAGGACTAGGTTTCCAGAACTAGTAATTCAAGAAGAAAAGCGGGTTCGTTTTGTGGTTGTTAACGGTTTAGACATTGTTGAAAAACCCAATGGAATGCCTATTGAAGATGCTGAATGGTAAGTTAGAACATATAATTTTACATAATCTCTCATTTCGTGTAAAGGTTCCCAAATATCATTGTTTCATTTCCATCAGTTTGTTTTCCCTGAATTTGTTTGATGAAATAGACTGTACACATTTTTTATTTTGTTGTACTATATCATTTCTATCCTCAGGATGAATGTAACTCAAGATCTTAGTGATACCCTATTTCTTCAATTTGAATGATACTGATGATGAAGACTTAGCCCATTGCAAAGAAATTCAACTTCTAGATCGTATGACAGGAATCTATGACTTTGCAAATAATTTTTTTTCACTTGAATCTGATCTGCAAATTCATTCAAGTTTTGTAGATTTAGTGGCGAATATAGGTCAATATATTGCCTGATTAATTGCTCCACTGTGTAGGTTTAGACGATTAACAGGTCGCAGTGAGGTGGCTGTGTCTTCTCAGGACTACAAATTCTATTCACCTAGGCACAAATATAGGCGAGTTGCAGCAAATTCTGTGTCCAGCATTTCTAGTTTGAATGTAAGCATAGTAATTTTCCAATATATGTGATCCATCTTTTATATCTCCCGGAAACATTTTCCACGAATGTATTTTGCAGGTAATTTTCCATAATATATCATGGCTGTAGCTTTGATATTATCGAAATGGTGTCAGCCACGTTGTATCGATTTTCCTTCATTTTGTTCATTATAATAATTGATAAATTGTCGTTAAACCTGCATATAATTATATTGTAGAACTGAAGTACAAATGTTAGACTCATGCCTTACAGAATTGTTGGAGAAATGATATTTGATGTATTATTTTCAGACATTTTCGAGCGGTGACAATTCTTCTACTCTGACTACTGGTCAAGCATTCCGCTCTCTAAGCGAAGTAAGAATGAACAGCACCTTTTCTCTTTGGTGATTAGTCTATCTGTTTAATCTTGATCATTATGCCCCTTTAACAGAATCCCCCATTACTTACTGATAGGCAAAAACTAGAGTTTTGAGTTCTATAGAGTCAGTCTTTGCTTCAAGAACATTTATTCTAGGAAATGGTGGGAGTGTCAACATGGCAAAGTGATTTATATTATGCAGATGTCTTCTTTGATCCTAAAAACTAAACAACTGACTTGTCTTTCTTGTCGACGACCTTTAAATCAGCAACAGACACCCTGCAAACATCATATCCAACAACTGCCTCATCAGCCTCAATTTCAGTCTGTTCATCAGTCCATGCACCAAAGTCAACATACTCCCCACTTTGCTCATAGTCATCAGTGTGGTCAACCTTCACAGTTACCGGACATTTCTCATACTCATCATTCTCCAACAATGTCACAACACATAGCTTGCTTACCACCTCTTTCAGTTGTTCATGTCGGTGGGCGCTTGCATCATGGGCTGGTAATTTCAAATCCCCCCTCCCACAACTAAGAATACCCCCATCCCAATTTTTTCGTTGTGTTTAATTATTGTGTTTAAATTAGTAAGTGGGATAAACTTTATAGTAATAAGCATTCTGAAAAACATGTTAATATGATATTGCATGATCCCTTCTATAGGAACAACTGGTCCTCTATCGTCTGAAAGTTAATCTTTAAGCTGTCTTACAATGCTTTATGTAATGCTTGTGCAATCTCTACTGCCAGAAGAGTGATTCGAGAATCTTAATTTTCAGCACCATTTCAACTGCTCCGGATTCTCCTGCTTATTTTCAATGAAGGATCCTAAAATCTGAATGCTATAAAATATCTAACTTGATAATGTTCTAATTCTATTTCGATAATTCAAGCCTCGTGTGTTAAAAAAGTCACCTGGATTTCTTCGTATCCATTTTGTGTGTATTTCTGATTTACTGATTTATTTGCAGCCATCCAGTCCTGCCAAGTTCTGTGACGAATGTGGAGCTCCATATTTAAGAGAAAGCTCTAAGTTCTGCTCAGAATGCGGTGTGAAGAGGTTAGGAATTTGATGTGTGTTGTATAATGATATATCATTATTAGTCCTAAAGAGCTGAATGTTGTATTTAGTTCTCGTCAAGTCAGTGTGTATATCAAGTTTTCTGCAGTCTTTGTGCATAAATTTAGATCTCCAAGTATACATAAAAACAATACAATGTGATGCTTTTGGAAGTAGATAATATAAAATCACTCTTACCCGCCGCCATATTGCACTGTTTTGTTTCTTTTCTTAAATTTTCTTCTTACATGTTGATCGCATCAAATTACTAAAAGGGGAGCCCCTCGGTCATAGTGACATAGTGCATTGTTCTTTGGCACGTAGGTTCATCATCTTGCCTCTCTGTTTTTGGAGTGAAAGCTGTAGATTGGAATATAAATTTAGAGATACTGGATTTGTGAAAATATTTAGTTGTTTGAATAACATATTATATTTTTTAGAATCGTATATATATATATATATATATATATATATATACACGACTAATGTTTAAACTAACGTTTTTTTTTTTTTTTTTTTGATGCATGTCCTAAATAAGAGACAGGCTTACATCAAAAGAGAGATCGATACATATAAAAATGTCTATTTAACTTGTACAATTTCCATAAAATATATATATATATATATATATATATATATATATATATATATATATATATATATAGTATATTTTGAATAATATGCTATAAATTTTATTAGGTTTTTTTAGTTTATTTAGCATTTAAGCGTAATAGTTATACTCCATAAATAATTTTAATAAAATAATATAAACTTTTAATTGTAGATAATTAGTACAGTAAAATTGAAGAACAAATCATGTTACATTTCAAAAATTAGAATAAATTATTTAAAATTAAATTATGTTATCATTTTTATATAATTATTATATATTATTAATAAAACAATAAAAAATAAAAAATAAAAAATGATGTATATATGAAATGGGAAGAGTGAAAGTAATAATAAAATAAATTTCTCTTAAACGGTCTCTTCGCTTCTGAACCTGTAGGTAAAGCTGGTTCGCTTCGTTCCTAAACTACTCAATAACTTAACTTGTCCTGTCCCTATTTCTTTCTTCTTTAACTAGATACTTGGTAAACTCTTTCACATTTCTAGAGTCAGTAAAGCATATTCTTTCTTCGAACGGAACCTGAACCTGATTTGACTCATGAACCTCGTAAACAAGGCAAAGGTTTTAACTATTAACTATTCGAGAACGAGGTAAAGCTATTTTACAGTCTCTTTCTTTCCCCTTATTCTGTTCCTATGAAATCCTGAACCTCTATTCTTTCTCTTCGCTACTTCCCCTTCCCCATAACCTTCTTTCTGGGTAAGCTAAGAAACTGAAAGAGAAGCTCAATCATTCTACTTCTATATATATATATAACTATAAAAAGAAAGAGACCAAAGAAAAATTGAGAGAAAAAAAAAATAGAGAAATAGAAAATAGCAAAAAATCAAAAAAATTAAAATTAAAGAATAAATTAAAAAATCTTAGACCACAAAATAAATTCTATAATTTAAAATAGAATCAAATCCTAATTTTACTGTAAAAATATTCTAAAATGGTTGGTTTTGTTTTTCTCCATTTCATAAAATCTTAAATTAAATTAGTTTATTTTTGGTAGGTTTACTTTGAATTCCATTCTTTTTTTAATTTTATTTGTAATTTAAAATATTCAAATTTACTTGTTGAGAGAGCTTAGTATTGGCCCGTTAACAGCTATTAATTTTGATATAAAAATTATTATATTTTAACTAATTTTGATTTAAATTAATTTTTAAAAATCAAAACTTATTTTAAACTTTATTGAAAGTATTTTAAATTTTTATCAATGAATTGAAAAGACCTTTCAAAATAAAAATTGATCTAGAATCTAATACTCAGCCCAAAGTTGAAGAAAAAATAAAGTGAAAATTTATATTATTGCCTTTTTTTTTTCCTTCTATTATTTATGTATTTATTTATATTATAGTATAATTTAATATTTTGAATTTATTTTAATTTCAAATATCTAAATTTAGTTTACTTATTTTTATTAAATAAAAAAAAGTTAGGTATTTTAAGTTAATTTAATAATAATTGTCAACAAAATATAAATGTGAATATATTTTCAAAAAAGTATTGAGAAGAATTTAATAGAGATAAAATAATATAGAGAAAAAAAATCAATTTCAAAATACTCGACCAAAATAATATTTTAATATTTATATTTAGGTTAAATTATAATTTTATGGTGATCTCTAAAATTAAAAAAAATGTTTAATAAATTTTAGATAAATTAAAAAATTAATTAATAGGTATATTAAACATAAATTAAAATTTTAAATAAAATAAAAATCAACCAATTTTAATTTTGTGTAATAAATTTGTAAATTTTAAAAATCTCCAAAACTCACTAAAAACCAAATAACACAAATTTGAAAAGAGAAACGAATATTTAAAATCCTTTCTTGAACGTTCTTTAGGCAAGTTAAGTAGCTAACTAAACGACGTAGTTTTAATAGTCGGAATTCCAGCGGGGACGGCGGCGGAGGTAGGTTGGGATAACTTGCAGAAACAGGCTCCGAAAGTTCCTCTCTATCACATTCCAAAACTGTGCAGTTCCCTTTGTCCTCGAAATCGCCGTCTACCAAACTCAAATCTCCAAAATCCTCCGGCCACCCTTAAACCCCTTTCTCTCTTTCTCCCTTCGCCGCCATAGCCATGAGCTTCACATTTGCTTCCATGTCTTCACCCTCTTCTTCTTCTTCTCTTTCATCTATCTTTAGTTCCTCTAAATCGAAACCAGTTCCACCCCCGAATCTCCGCTTCGCCGCTCCCCTTTCTCGTACTTCTGTTTCTGTGTATCGTTTTAGGGTTAGGGCTTCGTCTGTTCCCGTTTCCAGGAACCACCCTGTTGTTCAATGCTTCAAGAACTACGCCAGAGCTGCGATTCTCATTGGTGCTGCCGCTACCATGGTTGGGAAATTTTCGCATTTGCCTGCCAGAGCGGAGTCGCCGGTGGCTGTAGAGGAGGAAGCTTCGAGAATGGAGGAAGAACAGCGGATTGTTGAGGACTCGGACCAAGACAGGCAGCAATCCTCGCCGTTGAATGATTTTCTCGAATCGAATTCTGAAGCTGTTGAGGCTCTCAAATCGCTCCTGCAGCAGAAACTTGAAAATAGCGAGGATGAAGAAGCGCTGAAAATCTTGAATCAATTGGTATCTGCTCAGTCGTCGGTGACCGAGTGGAAATTTCTCAAGGCCAGATTGCTCGGCGAAATGGGCAAAACGGAAAATGCACGAGAAGTTTTCGAAGAGATTTTAGCCGAGAATCCATTGTCATTCGAAGCATTGTTTGAAAACGCATTGTTAATGGATCGTTGTGGGGAAGGGGAGGCAGTGCTCCTGCGCTTAGAACAGGCTTTGAGAATTGCTGAAAACGAAAAGAAAGCGAAGGAGGCCAGGGATGTGAGGTTGATAATGGCTCAAATACAGTTCTTGCAGAAGAATGTAGAGGGGGCCTTGACGAGTTACAAAGAATTGATCAAGGAGGATCCTAGCGACTTTAGGCCATACTTCTGTCAAGGAATGATCTACAGCTTGCTTGATAAGAATGAGGAAGCCAGACAGCAATTCGGCAAGTACAGGGAGCTCTCACCGAAGAAATATGAGGTTGATGGGTACCTACGGACTCCATTGTCAAGGATGAAAATCTTCGGATCAGATGAGAACTAAAGGAGGGCTCTTAGAAAATGAGTAAGCGAATAAAGTGATACTTTTTTTTGTATGCTGATTTTTGTTATTTAGCTCATCTTACTCATAGTTTTATCTGCCAACTGCTTGTAGTTCAATTGCAGGATGAAATAGGAGCAAATTGAATCTAATGAGGACAGGTTTTTTCCTTTCTTTAAGCATAAACTTCACTAATATATGCAGTTTTGTTTGATGATACTGTATTAGACCTATCAAATTAGTTGAATAAATGCAGAAAAGCGCTTAGTAGTTTAACATGTTGCAGTTTGTATGTCTGCATTGTTCTTTTCTAAAAATTTGGACCATTTCTCGATTTGTGTGTGTCATCCTTATTCATGGGCCATGCTAATCTTCTTCATATCGTTCCAATTTTATCGAATGTCACCGCAGGGACTGTCTGCATTGTTCTTTTACTTCCTTAGAATGTATAGAAACGATTGCTTCCTTCATCATGAAAAGCAAGAGAGAAAGGAAAGAATAGTTCATATCTTGAGGGAATGTCTGATCTTCAAATGAATAAATGAAAGAACATCCAACCTAATCATCCTTATTTGTAGAGTTTCTCATAGATTTTTCTGCCTAATTTTAAATGATAGTTGTAATAGAAGAGTTGAGAGAAGAGTATACTTAAAAGGTTTATGTAAAGGCCCAAATCTACGGCTAGCAGATATTGTTTCTTTGGGCTTCTCCTTTTAAAATGTGTCTGCTAGTAAAAGGTCTCCACCCCTTTTAAAGGATGCTTCGTTCTCCACTCCCAACCGATGTGGAATCTCATAGTCTAGATCTGATGTAGTGTCTTTCCTTCCGATCTGTGTGACAATATGTGAGATTGAGGAAATGAAAGTGAATTATATGCTTTTTGCACTAACATGATCACTCCCACCTTCTCCTCCTTTGCATGCACTTAGTCTTTCTGTGATCTTAATTGAGTATCAGGGACAAGTCTTGATGATTTGAAAAAGAAGATTGCATTAGCAATCCAATCTTTGTTTTGGATAGGATCAATGAAAGTGATCATTGGTAAAAGGATACAGCGACAATGACAAGAGTTATTGTAGAGAAATGATATGTTCAAGAACCGAAAACCAAAATTCAAAATAGATATCCCAACCGGGTTTTAGCTTTTAGTTTTGAAGATGTGAGATGATGATGGATCTTGGGTGATTTTAACTTCGATTCTTTCGTTGAAGTTGTATGTTTCTTACAGGAGCGCTTGTGTTCATCCACCGTGTGCTATATCATATTCTATTGAATTGATATACCATGTTCTGGTTGAGAAAGAACTGTGCATAGTTGTTAATATCTTAAAAATGTGGATATCATCTGTCATAGCCTTCCAAAGTGTACTGTTTGTGGATTTGGGCACTACAATTGGAACAATTGGAAGTGTTTTAAGGACCCAGAAGATAGAAACCTCATCTATTCTCTTTGATCTTTTGATATATATATATAGAAATGACGATGATAAGCTTAATATTTGCATTCAGTGTGCCCGTGGCTTAGTTTTAGTTCATAATGTTGGTCAATTACTAAACTTAGTTAGTAACCATAGCTAAACTCTTAAGTCGATCTACTTGCCTCCAACATTTCGGTCTATGACAACTCAACTAGATAGAAAACTTTTAATCTAGCATACGGAAGAATTAAGTTGGATTGAATTGGGTTTGAACATTTTTTAACTCAATTCAATCGTTTGTATTACTAATTTTTTTAACTCATTCAATCTTTATTTAATCGTTAAGATTTGCATATATATTTTAAGTTTTAAAAGATGAAATCGTGGTTTCCTGAAGAATGTTAACTTCTATAATCTATAGAATAAAACAACATCTTGGATGAAGCAAAGAGCGGTTCGGTCAGAAGCATCTACCCCGCACTCAATCCAATAAGTAAGTACATAAGCAAGACGAATCTCTTTCTCTTTCAGTATTCACAAATTAGAGAGGAGCAAAAGATAGATGTGCTAGTTAGATAAGAATTTCCAGGATCTGCCGGCTGTATTTGATTGATCTCGTGCGGTACGAATGACTTTCAGAAATTCGATTCCGAATAAAAAATTTTGTTTTAAAGAGTGATTGGAAAATAAATTATAAAAAAGAATAAAATGAAATATCATGTCGAAGGAGAAGCAAAAAGTAGCCGAAATGGCAACTCCGACACCCCATGGCACTAGAGTTCTCTTCAAATGGTATCAAAGCTTGGGCTGTTACAAACTGAACAATATTTGTTAGCATTACAGATGGTATTAGAGGCAGATATTTGTTAGCAGTACTGTGAGTTTGGGCTATTATAAATGGTATCCAAGTCAGACACTGGGAGGTATTCTAGCAAGGACGTGGGGCCCTTAAGAGGGGTGGATTATGAAATCCTATATCGATTGGAGAGAGACGAAACATTACTTATAAGAGTGTGGAAACCTCTTTCTAATTGATACATTTTAAAATTGTGAGACTGACAACAATACGTATATGCTAAACAAGTATAGACCTAGAAAGCTCAGAAGCATATGAAATGTTAGTGAATAAGTGTGCGAAGTATGAAATAATTAAATAGTGTGAAGGTCTATTTTCCATTCAACCCAATTGATCAAAGTAGCCTCCAACACAGAGAACACCACAGGAATCCAATTATTGGTAACAGAATCATTTCAGCTCCTCCAATTATACTTTCATATCAAATATTTCTCCACAATAATGTTATTTGTCCTCTCTCTCTCTCTCTCTCTCTCTCTCTCTCCCCATTACTCAAATCTCCCGACCAATATATCTGCATCTGACACTTACTTCCACTGTTAATACTCTGTGTTGAAGGAGCTCACAGACATGACATACATCAATATCAAACACTCTTTTCTCAGCCATCAACTGGATTCCGTTTGATTGGGCAGCAGCGGGATAGCTGTTACCTCGACCAATCACCTCTACATCGTCGTCATCGTCATCGTCTTCCTCTCCGTGTTCATATTTCCTTGCAATGGCCCTGGTGCTGGCATAAAACACAACCAAGGGCCAAAGATCCAATTCTGACCAACCAATTCAAAACACAAGAACACATCAGAAATCACTCCCATTCTTCATTTTCTTCTCTTTTTTCCCTTTTTTTCTTCGCTAAAACTTCCTCTGTTCTTGTAGCTTACATTAAAACTTTGACTTGGGGTTATCTTTTATGTTACAGAGCTCAATGAGAGAATTCAATCCAAAAATCAGAAACTTTTCTGTGTTCCTCGCACCTGCCAAGCATGTTATTGTTAGAGATCTTACCAGGTTGTGCTAGGTAAAATTCTATTTGCAAGATCTTCATTTATAGATACAGGAAGTGGTAGCATTTTGCTCAGTATGCCTGGAGTTTCTCTCATGCTGCATATGTTACAATTCAAAATCTCCATTAATATATGATCATTCTGCCCAAGAACTGAGTTTGGAAGGAACCCATTTAAAGATAATAAAATGAAACCTCCACTTACTCATTTAAGATAGCAATAATGTTATTCCTTGTCCGACAGAACAGGTCTATGTTATCCTGCAACTGCTTGAAAAGATAATACACATCACAATGCAGTAAAATGACTAATGGTAGCAAAACGAGCAGCCAAGCTGGATGATACGAATGAAAATAAAACAAAGCAGTGTGAAGAAAGCTTTGGAATATTATTTTGGGCACGCTCTTTAGGATTGTCCTTCTTTTATAGATTTGTCTACTACAAACCAACTCTTAGATAAGGCAAAACCAACATAAATGAATTATCATAAGATGTTCGTAAGCTTCATTTAGGAAACGTTCAGTTTATACCGAGGTATCAGTTACGTGTCTCGGAAAGTGCATTCCTTCAGGAGTATAGTGTTGATATTATGCATTCGAGGTTTTAAGAACCCTGCAAAAATTGTCCAAGAAGTCCTCTCTATCATTTCATTCCCACATCCTTATTCTCAAAGCAACATTTATAAGCTACTAGACAGATCCTTCAAGTGATTTCATAAGGAAAAAGAAGAAAAAACAGATGGGCCTTCATCTATTTTAAGAGCACCCAATTTAGCGAGTGAATCTCACAATAATCAGATGTTGGTACTAAACTCATGGGAATTTGATACTCATCAGTAAATAAGTAATCTAGACAGATGAAATGTGACAGAATACTTCAATATTAAGACAAGATAATTTGCTATTAGATATTCACCTTGTACATGGAAAGGTTGGCAGTAATTTGACTAAAAGCTTGAGCATTCTGTTCCAGAAGATGTGCAGCTGCACTGCTTATCTCTGAGACTAATGAAACGAAACGTGTCGATAAAAACTTGAATAACTCGAGGTGGTACGTGCTACTATGAAGAAGTATAGAGGGAAAAATTTCAAGATGCTAACCTTCAGAAGGCGAATTTATGTTTCTGTTTATATTATGCATCATATGAGAATATGCAGCCATGCTGGGTCCAGGGGCTGAAGGTGTGTTTATTTTTAAAGATGACTCCACCAGCTTATCCTGAACATCCATAAGAAATTGGTTCTTCAAACCAATATCAGATCATAAAGATATTAGAGGGAACATGTGACAACTACCACTACTATATCTTCAAAAACATTCTCGGTTCAACTTAGTGTCCTATAATTGTAACGGCTGTGGGCTTTCCCTTTCAGACTTCCCCTCAAGTTTTTAAAACGCGTCTGCTAGGGAGAGGTTTCCACACCCTTATAAAGAATGCTTCGTTCTCTTTCCTAACCGATGTGGGATCTCACAATAGGGTCCCACGTCAATTGGAGAAGGAAACGAGTGTCAAGGTTTTTAAAACGCGTCTGCTAGGGAGAGGTTTCCACACTCTTATAAAGAATGCTTCATTCTCTTTCCCAACTGATGTGGGATCTCACAATGGGGTCTCACGTCAATTGGAGAAGGGAACGAGTGCCAACGAGGACGCTAGGCGGGGGGTAGATTGTGAGATCCCACATCGGTTGGGGAGTGCAACAAAGCATTCTTTATAAGGGTGTGGAAACCTCTCCCTAGCAGACACGTTTTAAAAACTTTGAGGGGAAACCCGAAAGGAAAGGCCCAAAGAGGACAATATCTATTAGCAGTGAGCTTGGGCCGTTACATATACTTATGAAGTTAGAGTTAATTGAAAGTGTATTCTCTCTTGAACAGGTTGTGCAACTAAACAGCCAAAAATATTGTCAGATCGAAATCGAAATATAATGTTTTTCGTAACCATGTGCCTTTTGATTTCAGTTTGATTCTTTTTTATGTGAGCTTTCATTTTGTATGCACCATGAATTCTTTCTCTCTCAAACGAAAGGTTTGGTCTTATCATTCAAAAAGGGGGGAAAAGAGTGACACTGCATCTCAGAAAGCTAATAGTGTTATGTTTGATTCAGAAAATTTTTAGGCTCTGGGCATCAACATGAACCAAAAACAGGGAAATATCCAAAAGATTAACCAACGATTTTACATATTCATGGAATCCAAGTCACCCTTACGTGTTCTCATAATCAAACTTTGAATGTGAAAAACACAGGATTTGACAAGATTTTCAAGAATCTGATCCAGCCTAACATTAAAGCCATATAAACATCCTAGTATGCCTTTCTGTTCTTCCTCAAAATAGGAAAATAAATGATAGCAAACACATATACATAAAAGTTCCATAAAGGTACCTTTCGATTGTTCACTTTCTTTCCAATATGTTCTTCAGGCTTCCTTCGTTTTCTCTGTAATGAAGTTTGTTAATCTTCTAGAAGAACTTAAAGAAGGAAGCCTAGTGGTATTTTACACACACTAAATAACTCATACTTACAGTCATCCACCTACACCTTAAAGCAACATCCCGGACGGTTTTATCGCGTATCATGGCAGCGATCTTGATATACCTCAAAATGCTTGGTTCATCAGCAAACCTATCAAATGGCAAGTAAGAACAATATAGAGTATACAGTCAAAGGAAAGTTGATATCTACAGTTAAGAAAGAAAGTATAGCCATTGATATCTGTATGGTTTTATTCATAGAACTAGAAAGAAAAATGGACTAGGCATGAGAAGAGCTTTCATTAATCAAGCAATCGAGGAAGAATGACTGACTTGACATAAAAGAAAATCCGACAGGAACATAAGTTTGAAGATTTTAAGAAAAAGAACCTACCTGACAAGACCTTCCTCCAATTTGAATTGTTCTTCCACAGACCATTCAACCGCTAACCCAGCATCATGCTTGAGACCTGGAACAGTATCAAGAAGCAGAGAACCAGATGAATTGGCAGCTTGGCTGATAACAGGATGGTTGTGGTTGTGGTTGTTGTTGTTGTTGACGACACTCGAATTCCCCGAAAACATTATGGCGGGCGTGTTGTTAACCCCAAAATAATTCCCCATTGTCATCATCTCCGAGCTGCTGGTTGTTGCTGTAGATTGAAAAGATATGGCGTGCCGATTCAAAGCGGAACGCAACGTTTCGTCACGGTGAAACCCCGTGTTGGATTCTGCTGCCATGGCTACTAATCCTCCTATTTACAATAACTCTCACAGAAATCTCAGCTGAACCATATCCAACCTATAAATTCAGATTCATAAAACCCCAAGAAGGCACAAATTACTGGGGAAAAAAAAGGGAAATACGAGCAGTATCAAAGATTATACGTCCATAATTCGCACTAAAATCCCACAATTCCAACACAATCGGGCAACAGAATCAGAGGAAATGCAAATTTGAATCAACAAGACCCCACAATTAGCAAGCAACAAACTCAACACAAAGCATTCCTACAGCTTCAAACTCCTCAAATCAAGAGATAAAACCCATGAAACAACAAAATTACAAGAACCCAGATGAAAAAAACCCCAAAAGGGGGAAGCGAAAGAGAAATTACTCACGTTGAATTCATCTGGGTAACGATCGAAGCCCTAAAAGCACCAAATGAAAAGGAGTTGCAGAGAAAACAAGAGAGAAAGAGAGAGAGAAATTAAGGGAAGCGGGTGGGGATAACCTTTATGGGTGCAACTTTCCGACGAAGCTCTGATTGGATTTAATATTCCTTTATGAAATCCATTCATAAATGTAGAGAGAGAGAGAGAGAGAGAGAGAAGAACCCTTGAATTCTAAGCCACAGCTCCAAAAACAGATTCAAATACTGAAGAATTGGAGGCCTCACTGAGCCACCACCGAACCCACAAAGCCCTACTCCCAGTGATTTTGAAATGGGTCATTTGGGTCACTCAATTTCAATCCTCCCACGGCTCCACCAATGAAAAACTTGGAGAAAAAGCACAAAATTTTAAAATTTAAAAGGAAGAAAAAAGGAAAAGAAAGAGAGAGAAGAAGAGGGTTTGTTTAATTTCAAATAAACAATGGATACGTTGCTGCAGATCTTGGAATTCAGGAACAGTGCGAATCCCCATAAGCATTTGATGCCAATTATTGTGGACTCTCCACCTTTGCTTTTTTAAAAATTAAAAAAAAAAAAAAAAGTTAGAAATGAATTTTACTATAAAGGGTATAAATATGAACATATTGGGTATTATTATGAGTGGAGTGGTGGATTATATACAGTGAAGGCATTTCTCATAAAACTAAGTAGCTGTTGTCTCACGCCATCATTTTTGTCTCTTAATTTTAATTCATTTTATTTAATTATTTACCTTCATCCAATTATTCATTTTTCACCATTTTCACAATGTATAAATATAATTTATAATTGTAAAAATAAACATAATGTATCAAAACCTTATATAATGAATATCATATTCAAAATATTTTTATATTTATATTATTTGTTGTTGAAATTTTATTAGTTTGAATTTTTTTTATTTTAATACATTAACCATTTTAATTTTTTTTTCTAGTTATTTAATAATAAAAAAGATTAAAAATTTAGTATTTTTAGCTTAATTTAAAAAATAAAAAAAGAAAAAAAATAGATGACACGTGGGGGAAGTGAGATTAGTCACGGTGTGGGGCCCACAACAGAGATAAATTAGTGGGTTCCACCCTGAAGAGTTGGAGATAACAACCCAAATTTTAAAAATAAAAAAATGTTTTTTTAAAAATTTTATTTTCATTTTTGAAATTTTATTTTCTATTTAGTTTGATAAATTATAAAATCGAAACTCAACTTTAAACATTAAAAGGGCTATTTTTATTTATCGAAATTTTACTTTTATAATTCATTTTATTATTATTATTATTTTGTAAGGTCCCTCTCTAGGAATTATCGATAATAAATTCCAAATTTAAAAAAAATAAAAATTAAATATAAAAAAAATCAGTTAAGAACTGATTCCTCTAGTTAGTTTTTTAATTAACAAAAATAACAATAAAATGCTTTTTTTTTTTCTTTTTCTTTTTTTCGGGAGGGAATAACACTAATTAACCATCTAGATATCATATTATATATTATGATAAATAATTTATATTATCCATAAACTTACCGTAAAGAAGAGAAAAAGAATTACACAGATAAAATAAAATGAAATGAAATTATCTGTCCACCTATTTCTAATTTATTTTATTTTAACCACTCTAATATAAATCTATGGCAAATCATTATATGCCTAAAGTTAAATTGATAAAATGTCATCACTAGTCCAATAAAGTTCAGTCAGTAATTGTATGAACATATTGTCTATATATAATTGTACGAAGCATAGAGTCCTATAGTTTCAGACTAATAAGGTTGTCAAATGAATTGTGAAATGACCGAAAAAGATATATGAGTTAATATATGTTCTAAAGTTGATAATATCATAAAAGATTTTTTTAAAAGGTCTCTCCATTTAATTATTTGAATTAATATCGAGAGCATGAATTAATTATGTATAAAAAATTTCAAATGAAACGATTAACCACCAAAATTGAATGGCTAAATTACACAAAATTGAAAGCATAGAAACTAAATTGTGATTATCTACAACAATAATGGCTTCCATGAAAAAAGCACACAAACAAAATCCTTAGGGATTTTTGTCCGTTGCAATGGAGGAAAGAAGGAAAAAAAAGTGATGATCATCAACAAGAATTCATGCTCCAATTATAGTTCTGATAGGCTATGTTGACTGGACCTCCATCTCCTAAAAGGTGTGTCAAAAGCCCTGCTTTATTCCCATCCAAGAACTTCATTATCCACCTCAATATCTCTTTCTCATTCCCAAAGTCCACCCCAAACCTGCAACCCATTAAAACGTCCATTCTTCTTACTAAGCATCCACGTTACGAGTCTAACTTGAAAAGTCAAATCAATCATCCGAGACACCCCTATAGTTATACCTAGTTTCAACTTTGCCCCAATAATCAGTTAGGACTCATACCTCTCAAATAAATCATTCAGACTCACACATCTATTTTAACCAGTTGAAGTAAGGTAGGACTCAGACTCACACTCAGACCTTTTTATCTTAACCAGTTGAAGTAAAGTAAGACTCAAGACCTCTCAAATAAATCATCCAAACTCATACCTTTATGTTAACCAGTTGAAGTAAGTTAGGACTCAAACCTTTCTATCTTAACCATGTGAAGTAAGGTAGGACTCAAACTTCTCAAATAAATCATCAAAACTCAGACCTCTATCTTATCCAGTTGAAGTAAGGTAGGACTCAGACCTTTCAAATAAATCAACAGTTGAAATAAGGTAGGACTCAAACCTTTCAAATAAATCACTAGGACTCAGACCTCTGTCGGGTTGGTTAAAGTAGGAGTTAGTAAAGAAATGAGAAAGGAATGATGACAAACCACTTGATAATGCCAGTGAGAAGGACAGTTCTTTTATCCAAGTCAACCTCCACTCCACCAGCTTGGAAGAACTCCCTTGCAGCGCATCTTAGCTCAGCATCGACGCCTTGAGGGCTAAAGAATCGCACTCTTGGGCTTGACTTCGTGCCACTGCACAGTCCAAAGTGAATCAAAGGATTCACTTCCCTAAACGCGAGCTGAAGGGCTTATTATATTCAGTACTCTTTCAACAAAAACTATACTAAGTATCATAAACTCATAAATTTACCTCCGCTCGCTTGTCACCGCTGCTGAATGGCTTGGCAAAGGAATAGGGTGGCCGCCTATTGCCTCTTAGAATCCCATTCTTTATGGCAATGAGCGAGTATGGCTGCCCGCCGACCAAGTATTGGAAGTCCGAGAAGAAGGATTTTCTGTCTATTACGCCCTCCACCCGTCCAAATCTAATCAACCCATGGATCACCATCGCGTTGTACATGTTTAAGAAGAATGCTAGCTTTTCGTTGTGGGACAGTGCCATGAGGTTCACGCGGTGGAGCTCTTGTGTTAGATTTATGTACCTGCCCAAGGGTATTAATTGTATTAATTAATGTTATTTTTGAACCTTCATGAATATTTTTAAAACTTTTGCTAAATGGATACCTTCGGAATTCTTCGCTGTTGCTAACGGCGAGATAATCGACATGTTGAAAGTCGTTAGAGGCGTAGGATTCTAATATGGCGGACATGATCTTGGCTAGTCTTTGGGCAACCATGGCAGCAGGCATGGGCTCGTTGTCGTTAACCGAGCCTCTGAAGTTGAAGCACCAAGATATGCATGACCCATGCTCGAGGAAACGATAGAAATGGTACCCATCTTCGAATTCATTCTCCCTATTTATTATTACACAAAAACAAGATGTTAATGTACAATGGAAAAACAACATAGCTATTCTCATTAACGGATAGACAGAAAATTGAATCTTTATGTCTAATAAGGTTCCAAACTTTAAATTTTGGGTATAAAACTTCCAAAAAAAAAATGAACACTATTGCTCAGTTGCAATGATCGAGAGAAAGATTTACCCAAAAACATGATGAATAAAGAGCTTTTGAGCCATTTGCTTTCCAATTTCCACCGCCTACACGTAGATCAAATTCAAATTCATTACCGAACAATATAAGCATAGAAAATTTGTCGAAAACATATCTTTTTTTAAGACCCCATTGAAATTTTTTATCAAATTTAATATTTGTTTAGATAAATAAACACAAATTTAATAGAATTTAGATTAGTTTAGTTAAGGAAAGGAATATACCAAAATCAGTATATGGTCATTTGATTAATTCCCATAAGATCCATTTTTGGGAAGCGAGTCCACCTACTAATTACTCGGCACAATTTACAACATCCTCTTTCAATTTATGATTCTCTATCCATCTATTATTTCACCCGCTTGTTAGTTGCTCCCCATCATTAATGTCCCCCGCCCTACACGGACACACCCTTCACCATGTCCCTCTTCCCACCCTCCACTCACTCAAGTGGATTCTCGTAATATCACTATTCTTGCTCAAGACGCTATGTTCAGACCAGATTTAAACTTTTAACTTTTTGGTCTAAATTAGACCGTTTGTATCAGTTGAGCTAACGTTGTACTCGTGTCAGCGATTTTAAACGAGTATAAGCTCCTTTCATTCATATGCTCTCGAGCAAGATGGTTGGTGATATATAACATTGTAATTTTGGTCATTCATATTGTTTGAGGGAGATCATATGGGATGGAATTTTTTGAATTGAAAAGCAATCAGGTGCTTCGCGGACCATGATGTAATGAGATGGTAAGTTAAAGACGACCGTAGGATTTCAAAAGAAGGTTCAAAAGATGTCCATCCAACGGCCAGAAAACAGAGCGTAGAACTTAATGACTATGGAGGAAAACAGAGGATTTAACTAAGGATATTATAGAATCATACCTTAGGACGCCCACAATCAAGGCGCTGAATAAGCGCCTCCACCATATCGCTGCCGGAGAAGCAGTTCTTGACGATCTTCATCTTGATCAGACGGTCCTGAATCGGCAATCTCGATCTTAGAAATTTCACGATCTCCAGTAATCCGTCCGGCGATTCCTCCTCTGGATCGTCGAAACCGTACACCGGCGTAGCAGGTGCTTCGTCGGGGCATTTATTGCTCAACATATCGTTGATTCTCCGGTCGAATTCACCGCTGTTTCTCAGCGAGTTCAGCGCCACCAGACCTCCAAAAAGCTTCTCGTTGAAGAAAATTTGCGGCACCGATGAACTCCCCGTCCGCTTCATCAGCTCCTTCTCTCTCTGAGGAAAAACGTCGACGTTTATCTCAACAAATCTCAATCCCTTTTCATTCAAAAAACTCCTAACCGCTTTACAATCCCTGCAATTTGACCTCGAGAAGAAGCTGATTCTTCCCTTCAGTTCTCTGTTTTTATCCTCATCGCTCTTCAGCTTCACGATGACTTTCAGGCCGGAGAGTTTGATTTCCGTAACGCCGGTTTGGGACTTCCCGTTGTCGTCGGTGTCGACGTTCTCATCTCTAAGTGACGAAATCCGTTTGAAAATCGCTACCGATAAACTATTGCTTCTCTCCCGTATAAACTTCCCAATCGACGGCATATCGACGGAGATATTCTCTGCCAAGCTCTGCGACCGTTTGTACGGCGGTTCACCAGCAGAGGAAATAGAAATCCCTGGTGGGGGCTCGGGTTTAGGAAGCTGAGAATGAGGCTCCAATACGCGTAGTTCGCCACTACTACGTTTTGAATCATGGTAAATCGGATCCTCTGTTTTCTCGGAATCAAACGACGAAACAGAAGAAGAAACAGAACAAGGGGATTCACTATCAGAGAGCTTCGATTGGTTTTCATCGGAAACGGAAAGGTTCCCGGAGAGCTCGGAATGATCAGAACCATCCATCAATGGAAGTCGAGAAACAGAGGAATGAACGTCAACCACCATTAGAACAGAGAAATTCGTTGTAAGAAGAAAATGGAGGAGAAAGAAGGGGAAGGGGTTTAACGTTTTCAAGGGAGGAAGAAGGAAGACGAAGTCAAATGGGACCCACAGAGACCACAATTTTTACAATTAACCAAAAATGAAAAAATAATTTTAGAGACGGTTAAAGGGAGACGAGGGAGTGACCGGGGCCCACAAAGGTCACGTGACTTGAGGGGAGAAGGCATGTGATGACTTTTTTTTAATAAAAAATTACATAATTCCACGTGGCAATCTCTTATTCCAAATAAGAAAATGGATATCTATTTTAGTTTGTTCGGCGTCAAAACCGAAGACGACGACGCTTGTTATTGTATCTTATGCCACGTCACTCCACGAATTTAAACCTTTTTTTAATTAAATTAAATAAATATCTTGTATCTTTATATAAATTCTTAAACATTTTATTTATTTATTTTAATTGAAATTGAAACCTAATTTGACTAAAATAAATCATTTATTTTATTCGTGGAATGGATAATGGCAGTTAAATAAATAAGAAAATGGAGGAAAAAATATTATTTAAAAAAAAAAAAGGGTTTTACTTAACTTTCAAACTATATAAAAATATATATATATTATGTATTTTTTGGACCAATTCTTTATTTAATTTAATCCACTTTTGAATTATTCTTATAATTTCCTCGGGTTTTGAATTACGTCTCAATATTGTTAAACCTGTTCTACTTGTTTGTAATCACGATTTAAAATATATTTTATTTTAAAAATAATAATAGAAATAAGATGGTTGGATGGTTTTATGCATTTAAATTTTAAATATGAGAGATTGATATAAACATGTTATTTTCATACATATTTATAATTGTAATAATTTGTGACACATTGGGTATAAATGAACTGAAACCATATTCAAATCAAAACCATCTTGAAAATAGAATGATTAAAAATGACTTAAAAAAAAATAAAAGTTACGACCTATATCACCAAGATATGACTTAATGATACATGTGAGTCAGAACAAAACATATTGGAATGACTCGTGTTGGTCTGCAGAGATAGTTTTACTCTTAAAAAGTAGGGAGTATGTGACGTGACCATGTCACAAAGGATACAGAAAAATGTCGGAGTCATCTGATGTTAAATCTGGATTCCAAATCCTGATTCGAATCATGGGTATGGATGTTTACATAATTAAACTTCTAAACGCGTGTGAAAATTGATGTTTGAATGATTACTATATTTTGTAATTGATTTAATTATCCATTTTAATTGTAACTTGGGTTAAATACACGTAAGTTTGACTTTTTCTAAAAAGTATTTAAAAATTGAATTAAACGGGGTCATAGCATGGAAGAGTTGACGTGGAATACACATTAATAATTAAAATAAGTAGAAGTTGGAATGAGAAAATGTTCGAACCAAACTTTGGGTTAAAATTAGGTGATACATAATTATAATAAATAGAATTTGGGTTTAGGGTCGAGATGTGACAGTGACGTTGAACGCTAGTAAAGTTGTACTTGAAAAATCTTTCCGTTTAAATCAAAATTTTAGATGAATTGAGTTGGTGACCCGAACAACCGCTTATAACCCAACCCAATCATTATATATATTACCGTTCAAATTTTTAATCCAAAGAATAAACTGATCATGTTGGGCTTTTTTTTAGTTCATCAACATATAGAACGGGATATTCGAACCTCTAATCTCTTGATTTGAAGTATATGTTTTAACCCATTAAAGCATACGTTCCACACGAGCTTTAATGAGGAAAAGTCGATTGGAAGGTGAGCGTGAGTGGTGGTGGAAAGTAAGGCAGATGTTGTCCCCAAATGTTGTGTTGTTCTATTAATTATAAACACATCAAATCAAGACTCAATAATATTACTCCCATGGACCCTCCTAATCACATTACTTTATTGGTTAATATCGGTCGTAGTTCAATTGGTTAACGTCTTTAACTAAGAGGTTCGAGATTTGAAGTCACCCAGTTTCACGAATTGAACTAAAAGGACATAACACGGTTAAAGAAATTGTAAATGTCCTTAAGCATACAAAATAACATTAACGTTAAAAGATAATCCATAAGGTGTCGATAGACACTTTTCGTCTATACATTAATGATAAGATTTTTTTTTGTAAAGGTAGAACGTATTAATGTTACTTATAAAATTTTATGTGTATTTTTTAATTACAGTAGTAAGGTAAAAATATTTTAAATTTTTAAAAGTTAAAAATATATAACATTAATGATAAAAATCATGCTATCGGCCCCGCTTAAAACGGGAATTTCCAGACTGGGGGAAAATGGGCCCAACAATAGAAATGGGCCTGATGGATCAGCCCAGATAGGGAAAGCTATAGTGGTGGATGACGTGGCAGATGTGCTTATCCGTGAGTGGAGGAAGGAAATGGGTGGTGGGGCCCGCACTTCACGTGTCAGCTCTCAGTCCCATGTTTTTTTCCCAATTGACAAAAACACATAAGCTTATACATTTTCTTTTTTAAATATTTACAAAAAATTAATTTATTCACCCTTTTGTTTTGCTCAATTCTTTCATTTTTGTCTTTTTTATTTTTTATTTTTTCCCCTAAAGAACAAGCAAGCCAAATATAAATTTTGGCAAAATCTTCATGCCTTACACTCCCAATAATTGTAAAAAAAATAAAAATAATAAAATAAAATGTAATTTTTAATGTAATAATTAATTCTAAAATTAAAAAAAATTGAATTTTAAATAATAATTTCACTTCAGGTAGTCAATTTATACATTTTTTTTTTTTGTTAAGTCAACTCCAACAATATTAACAATATTTGACATTTGTAGCTGATATTAGTGATGAAATATTTGATATTTGTAATTGATGTTAGTGATGATTATGTTAGTTACGGTGGATAAATATAATTTTTTAAATAATTAAAAAATTGTAACATAATGTTTTAAATTAATTTTTTAAAAAAAAAATAGGAAAGTGGCTTAAAATTTTGGGAGGCTCCCAAGTTAAACAATTTGAAGGCAAGTTGGTTGAATTATTCACGAGAATTTTAAATAATTTTTAAAATTATAATTGCAAATAATAATGCTCACAGGAAGCGTGGAAAAATATTAATAAAATAAAAGCTTACACGACATCGCCATCGCCATCGCTCCAAACGAATCCTTCTCCATTGCCCCCACAAATATGCTTCTCTTTCCCTTCCACCTCTTTCACTCCTCTTTCTCTCTCTCTTTCTCTCTCTTCCGCCATTGTTGCTCTGCAACTTTCCTCCACAGCCATGACTCCGCAATCCACCTATCTCCAAATCCAAATCGCCGCCCAGCATACTTTCTTTCTCAGCGAGGTATTTTGGGCTTCATTTGCTTTTTCCATTTCTCCTTTCCGATCATTTCTTCCTTTTTCTCATCTTGTTTTCTTTACATTTTGTTTTGCAGAAGGTTATTTCGGCTTATTCCGCAAGATTTCGGCGGATTAGCAAGCAGCATAGGCGAGCGAGAAGGCGAACAACCACAACAACTGCCTTTGGTGCTAGTTCCAGCGATGATATCTCTAATTCTGCTATTGAGATCGATGATTTTCCTGGAGGAGTGAATGGATTCGAACTCATCTCAAGATTCTGCTACAACCGCACCCAAATCGACATCACTGTCTCTAATGTTGCATTACTCCATTGCTGTGCCGTGTTCCTTGGAATGACGGAGGAGGTCGCCGCTGGGAACCTCATCCTGCAGACTGAGAATTTCCTCGACGGAATCTTCTACTGGTCGTGGAGTGATTTATTGTTGTGCCTTCGGAGTTGCGATTCCTTTTTCGCTTTTGCAGATTCGTCAGGACTTTTGCAGAAGCTCGTTTGTGCTTTATTGGCCAAGATTGCACAGAATTCCAATGCGAGCCTCGTCACTCCTTCTTCCTCTTCTTCTTCCTCCTCGCCTGATAATGCGTCTGGTAATTCAAGATTATCTACCAAATTGTGGTGGTTCGACGACATGTCGTTATTGCCTGCTCGGATCATTGAAAAAGTCGTACAGGGGATGGGGAGCTACGGGAGCAGCAATAACAGTTTGATTCTCACCAGATTTCTCCTCCATTACCTCAAAACCGCTGCTCAGAGCACTGTTGGGTACGTGTTACACTATTGAATCCAAAAGCTTCAACTATGAATATTAATCACATAATCTTATGTTTCGATAACAGATTAAACTCGTAAGCTTAAGAAATGGGTATCAATGTTCTAAGTTCTGATCACATACATATCCTTATGATTGAACTAATGAACTTGAGCCTTATCTTTAGGAATGAGCAACTATTGATTGAAGGTCTCTGATTAACATATTAAACTGCAGTATATTGAAGGTTTGATTCATATGTTTAACAGGTATGGGAGTGGGCGGCCGAGGGGAGAGTACGGCGGGCTAGCGGACACCGCAGTGCACGGGGTGGTAATGGTGGGGAAAAGTATGTTTTCTTGCCGGGGGCTGTTCTGGGTGTTGAGAGTGGTGTCTGGTTTTGGTCTGAGCAAAGATTGCCGGAGTGGGTTGGAGAGGATGATCGGCGGGATGCTGGATCAGGCCAAACTGGATGATTTGCTAATCTCCGGGCACCACAAATGCACTTACGATGTGAATCTGGTGATAAGATTAATCAGAGTATTCGTGAACAACGATGGAGCTTTGTCTGTGCACAAGCTGAAAAAAGTGGGGAAACTGGTTGATAAGTATTTGGGGGAAATTTCTCCTGATCAAAACCTCAAAATATCCAAATTCTTGGGAGTTGCCGAGAGCTTGCCGGACTGTGCTAGAGATTGCTTTGATGGAGTTTACAGAGCAATTGACATCTATCTAGAGGTGAGTAGAACAAGAATTTCAAGCTCATAAACCTCATTATCATTCATTTTTGTATTGAAAATCAGAGGTAGAATGAGTGGCAATTAATCTGAAGTTTTCTTTCACTGAAAAGGATTGTTTATTATGTGTATTGTGTTCCAGTCTCATCCAAATCTTTCAATGGAAGAGAGGTCGAGGCTATGTAGATGTCTAAATCATGAGAAGCTGAGCCTAGAGACATGCAAGGCCTTGGCAAAGAATCCAAGAGTGCCGCCAAGGATAGCAGTGGAAGCACTGAAGTGTCAAGCAATGGGAGGTGGTCGTTCAAGCAAAGAGGAAACGACGGCGACCGAGTCCGCGATGGCAATGATAGCAGCAGCAGGGGAGGAGGATGATCGGAGCAGTACTGAGTATTACAGTAGCGAGTGTCAAAGGGTTTTATC